TGTGTGTGGATGGGCAGGACTTGTACTTCTTGCATTTCCTATACACAGCTTTCTTTCTTTTGACTGCACCACTCACTGACATATCCTTACACCTCATTTATTTTAAAACAGAGAGCAAGGTTTGGTCTTCCATGATTGTGCCGAACAGTTAAAGGAGGGCTAGGCTAAGTCAAGCCTAAATTATCTCTGGTAGCAAAAATTACTAAGCTGAGGCCATTCTACTTTCAGCACGCCATGACTGGAAAAGACAATAATGCTGTGTAAAGCTGAAGGCAGCAGGATGGGAGGAAGACCAAAAAAATGAGATGGAATTAGTTAATTTTAGACCAAAATTCCCAGGAGGCCAAGCAGCAGGAATTCTAGTAACTCTTCCAAGATCTCTGCTGGTCTTCTTGATCCTTGATCCCTTCCACTTCACCTATTTGTTCTCTACCTCACCTAACAGAGATTGGGCCGCCGTATTCCAGATTCTATCTTCTGAAATACAAATGTGGAACAATTAATTCTGTCAAAAACATCCATCAGAAGAACTGAAGTAATCTAATTTAACTGGTGAGTTGCAGTGCAATCCTACGCATGCTTTACTGAGAACTACATTCCACTCTGTTCTATTTATTGTTGATATGTGCCAAGTCGAAACTGATTTATAGTGACTGTAACAGGGCTCTGAAGGAGAGTGAAATATTTTAGGAGTGGTTTTACCTGTTCCACACCTCCAGTGAGTTTCCAGGGCTCAGCAGAAATCCAAACCCAGGCCTCCTGCATTCTAGTCCAGCATTCGGTTCACTACACCACACTGGGTATCAATGAAGATTCCTGGTAAATGTGTTTAGGATTGCAAACTTGGGATTGTTATGTAGTAACTGGAAATTGAAGCATGTGAACAAGTCTTTTTGCCTTACAGGAGAAGCCTATTCTAGTGCCCTGTATTAGAGTTGTGTGCGTGTTTTAAATTTCAAGACATTCAGCAGGATAAAAGGTACCATTTCTCTACAATTTCCCTTCACTGCACATCCATATTGCTCCCATTCCTCGAAAAGGGAGCAATGTGGATGTCACTGAAAGTCATTTAACATCAGCAGGTTAACCAACTGCTGTTTATAGATCTTAAAGAGAGAGGAGGCTAATGCCCCTAAATAAAGGATATGATCTTCTATTAGGAAGTGAAAGCCAACATTGGCTTTTGGCGCAGTGGGGTGATCAATGCTGCCAACATATGCTGCTATAATTTTACATCCACCTTATTTGTAAGCATATCAACTACTGGAGAAGCAAACAGCTGTATCAGCAAAGATGCTTTTTGGAGCTAATTAGCTAAATCAGAGCTTGGAAATAAACAGTGAAAAGCAACTTAGTTACCAGTAATTGCATCTATTTAAGTAATGACTAATGCGGTAGCTCCAAAATCAGTTCCAAGATCTGAGTAAGATCTACTTGCGATCAAAAATCACTTTGGCAATGCCTTTGTAGAGATAATCTGACATTTTTTCAAGATTTTTCAGGGTCATTCTCATCAATTTAGCAACAAGATAAGTATTCTTTGGTTTTGCATTTCTGTATTTCCAAGGTGCAGCATCAGAGGGCCACAAAGTATTTTTCTCCATTTTTCTGCTCTGTTAACACTGCACAACATTAATAAAATGCGACACAATGAAGTATTTGCACAATTGGAATGCTGATAACAGCAACATGGCTGTGGAGAACTAAAAAACAAATCTCACAACTTTCTTTTTTATAGAGCAGAAAATCCTTCATTATTATCATATGCATGATTATATAGTCCCATCATTGATTTATATTGTTATTCCATATTATTCACAATCCCCATCCACTACACTAAATTCTTTTGGATAACAGCAGCTGTGGAGAACCAAAAAACAAACCTCACAACTTTATAGAGCAGGAAATCCTTCATTATTATCATATGCATTATATAGTCCCATCACCGATTTATATTGTTATTCCATATTATTCACAATCCCCATCCACTATACTAAATTCTTTTGGTAAACTATCCCTTTTAATAAAAATCCCCACTTATCACCTATTCCCCAGATTGTAATTATAATTTAGTAAGTAAGTTATATGGATAAACTGTGTCACTAATCTCATTATTTCTGAACAATGCCCAATGTTCTATTATCCTCAATCCCCATCCACTATACTAAATTCTTTTGGTAAACTATCCCTTTTAATAAAAATCCCCACCTATTCCCCAGATTGTAATTATATTTTAGTAAATAAGTTAGATGGATAAACTGTGTCACTAATCTCATTATTTCTGAACAATGCCCAATGTTCTATTATCCTCTTGCAGATGTAGTTCTCTTCTTCTACATGTTATTTCTATCCACTCAACTATCTGCCATACTTTTTCTAATCAGTCCTCACATGGCTTTTCTTTTGTCTTCATAATTCAGAACTACTGGATAGGTTATATCCAGTGCTATCTTGAATCACATCAACCAACCTCCCAAAACCTCTGCATTTTTCTACAAATCCAAAATCTATGAAGGCAATTTCCTTTTAAATGACCACTTCCCCAACACGGCATATTATTTTTAAAGATTTGAGATACTTGACCACTGATACATCATTTTCTAAAAGCTTTCTTTGAAATTTGAACTACTCAGAACAGGAGCAGCTATGCTGTTTTTATAAATCTTTTGTTTGCAGTAACTAAAGAATTGTGAAGGATTCAGCTTTAATGGCCCTATAAAGCAATAACCAAAATCTACTAAAAAAATAAAAAAAGCCATCAATTTATCCCATCTGTAATGTTAATAGCAACAGATTACATTTTGGGCCTCTGCACAAGTGAAATAACAAACTAATTTTCCCTTGCAAAGGGGGATTCTTTTTCTGTTAACTTACCTGTTCTCATGTTTCATGGAGGATAGTCACTTGTCAGTGGGTGGGGGTCAATGCCAACAATCCCACTTATGTTCATATTCCTTTCTTTCAAATAATTTGTATTTAATTTGTATTTGTATTTAAGAGGCTGCCTTTTGTAACGCAATAAAAGTTCATGAAAATCAAAATAAGAGTCATTTTGTGTTTCTTCACTAATGCTGAAACAAACAAACAAACAAACAAACATATAGCAAAAATCTTCTGGATTCTTAAGGAACCCTTCCCCAATTCAGAGGACCTTGCTGCTCCCTGCTTTTAAACCCCTGCCTCAAATATCTCTGCAGTATAATATATAGGAGCATCTTCTGCATCCTCTAGAGCAGTGGTCTCCAACCTTGGGCCTCCAGATGTTCTTGGACTTCAACTCCCAGAAATTCTGGCCAGCAGAGGTGGTGATGAAGGCTTCTGGGAGTTGTAGTTCAAGAACATCTGGAGGCCCAAGGTTGGAGACTACTGCTCTAGAGAAGTGCAGGGTTTCACTGCTAGCCATGAGGCTCCACTTCTGAGGTGGCTGCAAGTTCCTTCGAAGAGACCACTCTTCCATGAGATAAACAAAGAGGCAAAAAGTTGTTAAATATCTCAACACTTTGTTAGGTGTCAATATTACAGTTTTTTGGCTTCTAGGGTAGCTTTCGTTTATCCCCACCATCCACTATAAGTACTGTATAGCAAATTTCAGGTAATGATATTAACACAACTAAATTCAACTGATAATTTGATTTTGGGGGAAAAAGTATCAATGTCACAATGATTATTCAAAATGCTTATTCACATCATGCCCTTATTTATATCTTTATCTTCAGGTACAGAAAGATGCCTTTTGTCCCACCAAAATGTACCAAAGTGACCTTTCATAAATATATGAATCTTCACATCAGGAAAAAGAGTGGTGGTGATAAACACTCAGGTGAGCATTCTTTCAAGAAGTTACTTACCACCATCTGACAGGATATTTGGGCATTTCATAGTCTGCTCCTAAATATACTGCAAGTTCAGGAGTAATTTTTAGCTTCTAGGCTAGCTTTTGTTTATCCCCACCATCCACTATAATGGTGGATTCTGGCCAACTGGAAATTAACTAATATCCAGCAAAAATAGGTAGACAAATATTTTTTAAAATGCAAATCTGTATGCCTAAATAAAGCATAGAAGCACATGTAAGAGATGTGGGCCCTTAGCCTTAAACATCTTCATGTAGAAACTTGTTCCTTCTCTAAGTCCCCATCCTTTCTGTCTTGAGCAGAAGTCTTAGCAGTGCACACACTTTTGTTTGTTTGAACATACCTGCAATATTACTGGGAACTCTCCATTATCAGTATTCTCAATCGTGCAAATGCAAGTGAATCTCTTCAACAGACCACACTGTTCAACATGGGGAGTTAGCTCCTTTCAAGGAGAAAGGCGGGATAAAAATAGACAGACAGACAGACAGATAGTGAACTGAGAGATGGCATGTGCCATCCACTCCTTATCTGTATTCCTCAGATAATTTCTCCATGGTGTATCCAGGCACTGTAAGTCTGGGTAGGTCTCCCAATGAAATATTGAAGACTGGCTATTTCCCAAGGAAATAGTTTGATTGCTAATCAAACTAATCAGACAGCAAAGCAATGAGTTGGATCTAGACTTGCCTGAAGGAGAACTCTGCTAAATGATTATTCCTGGGGGGGGGGGGAATGGAGGTGATTATTACTTATTTATTTTTATTTTATTAGATTTATACCCCACCCATCTAGACCAAAGGTCTACTCTGGGCAGCATTACAAATTTAAAAATAGTAAAACCAATAAACATGCAATAAACCCAAGATGATAACATGTGAATTTAAGATACAGCAGGAGGGAAAGCCTGCCCAAATAGCCAAGTCTTGAGTTTACTTCTGAAGACACCCAGAGAGGGAGCCAGGCAATTTCCGATTACCAATTTCCCCCTTCCGCCTGCAGCTGTGTACAATGGGTTCCTGCCGAACAGCATGGGGCAGTGAACAGATGACCAACAAAAATGGTCTCCCTTGCTGCAAACAGCTTGGATCCAACAAGCCCACGCAGGAGATTCCTACACAACATAGATACTCAGTAACATTTTAATCAGTCCAACTGTGTTTTAATAAGGGATTTTCTCGAACCACTGTAGAAATCACCTACAAAGTAATGAATTTTATTCTGTTGCTTTACAAATTTTCTTGTGAAATGTAAAACCAAAATTTACACCTAAGTGTTAGAGAATATCTAAAAAATTGCATTATTTAATCTTCAATTCTGAATTGTTCTTAAAAACAAGAACTTTACAACATCTTTTTGGAATCGGCTACGAAGCTGGAAGGAATGGAAGAATGTAAGACTGAGTTCTGATTAATACTCAAATATTTTCAAAGATATTAAAAAATAATCTGGCCCCTTTTCAATTAAAATATTTTTAAAAGTTAAAACAAAACATTATGGTAGCAATAATCAAAAAAAGCACTAATTTTATTTTTTGTTCACAACAGGAACTCTGGTGCTGAAAGAATTTCAAAGTAAAAAGCAGTTCTCTTTGGGGATATTAGTCAATTAACTTAATAAAGTTCTGTTTTAAGAAGACTTTTCTTTCCTGCTGCGAGGTGAATCTGCTCCATTGGAGGTTAATGTTCCATTTATTCCATTTTCTAAAAATAATAAAAAATAACAACACACAGTTAGCTCACTTTCTAGATACAAACTCAAACACATGATGACTCAAAATCTTAATACATTCATTTTCAAAATATATTAGTAGAAAAAAAAAACCAAGCTGTCAGGACAGAACAACACCTCTGGTTGATTGTATGTTTGATAAGAATAAAAGCTCTTTAGTTTGTACACAGTATGTTTAAGCTTTTCGTATTTCAGTTTCATTTTTATGTTCATTCTTGCTCCATCCAAATTCTTTCCCTGTGAAAGTGTATTTTAAAATGGGAATATTGTATTTTATCAATGGTAGCAACAGTATAGAAAATTGAGTTAAAATCTACTCTTTAATAAAATACACACATTTAATTTTAGTATTTAAAAGTATTACAGTATTTCACTGGCTGGCAGGTAGTTATAGGTTTAGGTAGGCCATGCATGGAACACACTCAGCTGATACATAAATTATACAGAAGATGAATTTGTCTCATATCCTGAAAATCAGGAAATACAGCATTCTTTTACATTAAAAAGAGATGTGTCATTCGGAATTTGTGGACCAAAAATCCCACGATACTACATGCTGGGAGTGCCACCTGAGAGAAAGGCCTAAGCTTGACAGCTTTGTGGCCTAGCTCTAGCCTAGCTTCTTGTTCAGAAAGGAAGCTCCAAGCTAGCACCGGGCAGCTTCCTTTCTGAACAGAAAGCCTGAGTAGAGCTAGGCTGCAAACCTTTCAAGCTACAACCCTCAAGCTTTTCTCTCACAAGAGCCACACCTATGTGTCTTTCTGCTGAAACTCCCGGAATGCAGAATTGTGGGATTTATACTACAAAAGTTCTGAATGGCATGTCCCTAATATTAAACTACAGTGGCTATAGCTTCTTAAGTATATACTGCAACAACACCCCTTTTTCTACTAAATGTGTACAGAGTTAAAAGGAAAAAAAAGAACAAACCTCTTTCTTTTCTGGAAGGCTTGCCTTTAGTTGTTACAAATTTCTTTTTCACTGGCTGGGGAGGTGAAGAATGTTCTCTCCACCTTCTTAGTTGGAAATTAATGAACTTCCACATCATAAAGGCCTGTGTTAAGCAGATGGATGCCAACACACTGATTCTAAAAGTAGAAAAGGGACACGACAAGCATAAAAAACATGCTCCATCTAGGAAGATGTTTTGTTACAAGTGCACCGATAAGGCTCAACTTTCATGCACCCTCAGTCATGTTTTGATGCAGAATCCACAGAGAATTAGATGTGCAATGTACACATCCTACAATATTGTTACATTCTGAGCTGATAAAACACTTTCAAATTTCAGCTGTTATGTTTTATTTCGTTTTTCACAAAAACAAATGAAAACCCTGTCCCAACAAGCTATTGATTTAATCCTTAAGCAGAGCTCAGAAACAATCTGTTTAAACATTAAAATAGTCACTTCTGTGTTAAACAGGGAGAACATATCTAACCTTAAGAAAAAAAAATTAGACACATCACCTGGATTGTTTTTTTGTTTAATAAAAACATAACAGTGTTAGGGTTAATGTGCTATATCAATACATTCTCTCTAAAATCTATCAAAGCACCTTTTTCTCCTCTAGAGAACATAATGTGTGTGTATATTCTGTGACATCCAGTTGTAAACGACTTATAGCGACCCTAATAGGGCTTTCAAGGTAAGTGAGATATTTTAGGAATGCTTTTACCAGTTCCCCAGGAAGTGTCCATGGCCAAGTGGGAATTCAAATCCTTTAATGTACTAGGGCAAAAATTTACCTCTTTCATTGAACCATGATCCACCAAAGGAAATGGCATACCCTCTTTGACTATCAACTTGGGCAAAATCAACATTCCATCCATGGGGAGGGAGTATCGTAATTTAATGGACCCAGGAAAGATTTCAATACAAGGAACATATATTTTATCTGACCTTATTTTACTTAAATGTCCCCGTTTATGTTTTGCTTCTGGGCGTAACTCATTTCATTCTACATATACAAGTACCGTATTTTTCCTTGTATAAGACTATACTTTTGTCTAAAATCTTCAGACTAAAAATTGAGGGTCGTCTTATACACAGAAGTAAGCTGAGGAGAGAACAAAAACAAGTGGATGCGGAAGCGGGGATCAAAATGATTCTGCAGCACTTTTATCCCTTTCCCCCTACACTTGTTAAGCCCCACTTAGATTATTTAATTTTGGATTAGAAAAGTAGGGGGGGGGCGTCTTTTACATGGAGGCATCTAATACATGGAAAAATACAGTACTTCTTTTGACAGGGGGCACTTTAAAACCCCACAATGGAATTATCTGTAATGGATGAATATATCCTACAATGCAGGTTTAAAATTTTTTTAGCGTATGATGATTAATGAAAGCAAAACTACAAAAATCCAATATCCATAATAATACAACAGGAACACATACTTTGAAAATGCTACACGGGTAAGATCTTTCTTTTGCAATAACCAAACTCCGCTCTTACAACAGTGAACATAAATATCTGATAATCTAAGCAGGATTCATTTAGTCATCTTTCAAGGGCCTCTTTTCATTGTACACTTTGTACTCTTGAAACAGATAACCAAGTATCTTCACTATCACTGTGACATGCACCATGTAGCTAAACAAACAGCCACCTATGATGTGCAGAACATAAAGCACTGTGACAAACAGCCTTCCTGTGACTATAAATATAACCATAGTATTGTGTAATGAATTGATCCATCCTGAAAGTGAAACTGAAGTGGTTTTTGACTCTTCCTGGCAGTCAGATACAAGTGAAGAAATTCCTAGTAAAAGAGCAGCAACAATGGTATCAAGAAAAGTGTTGCTTTAAGAAAAAAACATTAATTTGAGCTACCAATTTTTTTTAAAAAGTCTGGCCATTGAAGATGTTCTGACAACAAGTTTAACAGCAGGGCTGGGTAACCTGTATCCTTCCAGATGTTGTACTGAAATGTCTACCATCCCTGACCCCCTGCCCATGGTGGGTTTTGGGAAACCTGAAATCTGACAATATCCAGAAGGTTACAGGCATCCAATCCTTTTACAAACTCTTTCATTTGATTTAGACACGATAGTGAAACCACGGTGGGCAGTAATGGTCTACGACCTAGGGCTGGAACACCTGCTTAACCATGGAAACTCAGAATGGGGATGGGGTGCACTGGTAAAATCACTTCTTAATTATCTCACTTACCTTGAGAGTCACTATAAGTCAGCTCCAGCCTGACAACACATACAGCATGACAATAAAAGTACTGTACTTATTTAAATCAATGAGCTTTTCTACACATTTCACATTTCAGAACTTTTCTGCAAAAAAATCCCTACAGTTTGTGAAGAAAACCATGTACTTTGTACAAAATGCACAGTTAGTGCAAAAATTAAAATGCCTAAAATCCTCCTGGTATAGATATCTGTGGAGGGTTAATCATATCATCTGCAGGAGTAGTTTTTCAGTAACAGAAAGCTTCCCCTTTTTCTCCCATGGCTTTTCAGACTTAATAATCTTCTTCATCCAGTGGAAGCCAAAGAACAGGAGGAGGGAATCTTTTACTATAAAAAATCACCACTGCCAGATTACTTTACCGGCATTATTTGTCACAGAAAACATGTCAGTATTTGTTACATCCTCATCCAGTTGTTACATATAGAGCACCACTAACTGTAGTTTTGGAAGAGGTAGACGTGTTAGTCTGTGCAACTATATCAAGCAAAATCCAAAGAAACAAAACAATAAAAACATGTGGCACCTTAATGACTAACCATTTTATTTTATTCTAAGTTTTCGTTGACACATCCACGTTATCAGATATTATGAGACTAATGTCTGACAAAGTGGTCATGTCCACGAAAGATTACATTACAATATTATTGTTAGTCATTAAGGCACAACATGCTTTTGTCTTTCTGTTTTGTTTTGTTTCCTTGGATTTTGCCTGATAAGCTAGCACCATTAACTGGAATTCTATAAGCAAGGTTCTACAACTCTAATCAAACACATTTCACACTTTGACAAACTATTCAAGAATGCCAGCGTCTTCTCAAGTTATGATTTTAAGCTCTGTAATGGTAGGTGGGGAAAGACTGGTGGATTTGGCAGTTTAACAGAGCACCCATCTCCCATTTTCCTTCCAGCAACACATGTTCAGAGCCGTCTCTCAATTAGAATTTTTTTTGGAGGGGGGGAATTGAACTGTAAGACACACCTGCAATAACAGATATGCTAGCTTGGCGATTCTGGGACATGTAGTCCAAAATTAATTCCTCCATGCTCAGCTCTGAATATGGAATTGCTGTTCAGCTATCACAGCTAAGAAGATCCTCTCCATGAAAATGTCTGCATTATACCTGATTGGCAACACATTGAAGTTTCCAGTACTAACATCCAATGTTTGATTCTCTGCTCTAGCAAGTCCAAATCCAACCGTAAGGACAGAAAGAATCAAGGTCAGGAGCCTTCCCAAAACAAAAAGAACAGCCCAGATTGAAAACCTAGGAAAAAAAAGAGAACATTTTTATCATCCCATTTTTAATCGACTGTGCTGTCTGCAGCCAACATTCAGCCATCCATATGAGAAAAATTTTGAATTTGTTACATGCTAAAGATTTTATTACATTCTCCAAGGTTTATTACAATCCTCCAGAAATGCTGCACTGCAAGTCTCATAATTTGCTAGGAGTTTTAGTGTAACACATTGTAGTGGACACCCCGCCTTCCCATATATGTAAGGGTATCAACCTGCACCTATGGGAGCTGTTGGGAGGCAGAGCCAGAGAAACCAGGAAGGGAGGGGTGAGTCAGATAAGAGGGGTTTAGTGAGTTGGTTCGGTGAGAGGAGAGTGAGAGTCTGAAGAAGTTAGTATGTGGTCGTTAGAGAGGGTACCAAGTTAAGAGTATGGAACTTATAGAGAGCTAAAAGAGTTAAGAGTGAAACAAGTTATTAATAATCTAATGAATACATTAAGGTCTGTGAAGAACCTGTTTAAGCAAACTGTATTCAATAAACTTGTGTTATTCAACTTTATACTCGGCTTGGACCTCAGTCTTTCTAATTAAAGGGTGTTGACTGATGGCAGCAGAAAGAAGAAAACGTGGTGTGGGCCTTGGGCTAGTGAAACAAGCAGGGGCCACGTGGTTAAACGTCACACACATGTAGAGTACATCTGTTTCGGAAAGGTACTCTAGAACAGCCATTCTCAATGGGGGACTTAAACAACCTTGATTCCTATATTTCTTTCATATTGTGTTTCTGGTCTTGCCCTCCCTCCCAAAAGTTGAGAATGGCTGCTCTAGAAGATTTAACTTACATAGAAGGGAACAAATCAAGACACCTAGGAGACCTAGATCAAAATAGAAGGAAGCCTAGACCACTGGTTCTTAACCTTGGGTTACTCAGGAGTTTTGGACTGCAACTCCCAGAAGCCTTCACCCCTAGCTGTCCTGACTGGGGTTTCTGGGAGTTGCAGTTCAAAAGCATCCGAGTAACAAAGGTTAAGAACCACTGGCCTAGACAAAACAGGCTGAAGCTCATGCAGTGATGTGATGTACTTGATCACAGACCTCTAATTTCATTTTGAAGAGATAACTTATGATGTAGTCACTATTATGGTTATTCTCTTTTAAAACAAGGTGACTTTCTTCATTCATCTCCAACATTTTACAAAACCAGACTTCTGGCTACATCTGGCTTTATTTTGTGAGGCCTGGTGCAACTTGTGGGAGATCCCACTCCATTTGTCCACCCCTGCTTTGTATATATGGAAGCAGGATACCATTTGCTGAACAGCCAAAATGTTAATATGCACATATGCACATGCTCCCTTGCCATATAAATCCGTACATATTAAGTGAAAATGCACATCTGGCATTTCCAGACTCATTTTTTAAACATGCAAAGTCACATTAAAGTACTTACCCTTTCTGATATTTTTCATTACTGAAGTAAAAGAGTCTGGAGATGTGGAACAAGAATTCTACAAAGTAATGTAACACAAGAAGAACAAGCCCAAGGTGGGTCAAACTATGAAAAACAAAAAAGAAAATAAACTAAGTTGTTGCCTGTTGGAACAATACAAGACCTTCAAACAAACCTATTCATTTGATGTTCTTTGTGTTACATAGCAGCTGTTAGAAATGTCAGTACTTTGAATGAAATCTAGTACACTCATCCAAGACTCAGTCCCATCTCTCCAGCTGAAATACTATCTCAGTCCCTCTGTGTGCTTTCAACCAAAACCATATATATGAAAAAATAGAATGGCCTGTTATAGGCCTTTCCAAGCTAGAAGAATTCCAAGTAGAAGAATTCAATTAGAAGTAATACTACCATCTGAATACAGCTGATAGACATGTCTGACAGATTACCTCAGCTGTGGTGCAACAGTTAAAGCACATCCTCCTAAGAAAGACCTACCTGGCTCTGTCATCATTTTGTCTTCTCTCAAGCACTGAAAACATGGCTTTTTTGTAGAGCATTGTTAGGAAGGACAAGTGTGATAGCCTGAGACTCTGAATGCTAGCTCTCCTGGCACTACCGCTTTTTGTTTATTTTGCTTCAAACACATGAATGTTTTGCTTTTTTGCCCAACTGGCTGTCCGACATCTTAGGGACTTGACATAAACATGAGAAATCAAAATAGGATTCAAAATGGAAGATAATGTTAGAAAGGTCGGAGAAAGCTCGTTAGGTCAGAATTTTGTCCAAACCCTCCTAACACACAAATTAGGAATTGATACATGACCTGCAAAAGGATTTGGCTTTAAACCTACATTTTAATGGAAGAAATGATGCCTTTTTTCATTACTGCTAAAAAGCTGGTCCAAGTCTTTAAGCTGCCCCCCCACATCTATATCCACTTACAATGGGAAGGAATGCAGCAGTTGCCATGAACAAAAATGTGTCTGCAAAAGGACCCCCCCCATCTGATAACATGTCATTCCCACCCGTGAACTTTGTCTAGAGGGAAAAAACAGCTGCCGTGCCTGCAAACTGTTGTCTAGTTTCCTCCAAACAAAGCTACTGCCACTTTCTATCCAGCTATAAATGGAGTAAGGGAGGGAGAGAGTAAAAACAGCCCTTGAGCCACCTCATAAAATATAAGCACTTCTTTTATTTGAAGGAGACTTCCATTCTGGTTCCATCCTTCCACATCTCAGATTTGCACAAACACAAGACTTTTTAGCCATCATGTATGATATTCAGAGATCACATTTGATGATTTCATCCATCCTATGCTGGTGTCACTATTCAAAATACCATTCTATATGCTAGTTATTTAAACTATTGCTTTTCAAGGGGATGAGGAAGCTTTTGAAGGCATTGTGTACTGTGATGAAGCATCTGATTTCTGGAATCAAATATTGAAATGTACAAAATAATTCCAGATCCTGACTAGTTATTGACCCTCATACCTGTTTTTCAAAAACTGACAGAAATGCAACATATTTTGTAATATAATTAACACTTTAGACATTAAGTTGGGAAGTACAATGGAGATTAGTTTGATAGGTGATGTTTAAATGTGGGTTTGTTGCTTTTATTTATTTTCAAAGGGACCAAGAAAAATGGAACATATTTTGAACACTGCACTATGATTTGTATGTACATTTATTGTATAACACCCTTTTCAAGCACGATGTCTAGGTGGACTTCCACAGTCATTTAACAAGAATGCAGAATACATTACAATGCAGTATGTAATGCATTATGGTCATGTATCTTGTTTATTATTATGTTTTAGGGAAGTAACACAGTCACACTTTTTCTATGGATGGAATGAGTTTCACCAATAGAGCTGGGGGTGGGGAATTCTCCCTCTCTGCCCCCCAAATCATCCCTAGAGGGTTTGGGGACTCCCCAGAGCAGAATTTAGGGAGAGAAGAGTCCCATTGTGCAAGAAATATCTCACTGTTCAGTATGGCTTGCATCTGAGGATGGTATCCCCAGCCCTTCTTGGAGGTTCAGAACAGCAGGAAAATAAATATGGCACTTACTTCAAGAGATACGCTCCGGTGATATGGAAAAGATAAAGTCCAATGTAAACAAGCTGGCGTGGAATGTCTTCCTATGGAAAAAGCCACATCAGTATCAATTATTTCTGGAATCTTCTTGCATGCTTGAACATTATTGGTTAGTCAACCAATGTACCCTCTTCGCTTTTCTCCCTCGGCTTCGCCGCTGCGTGCAAGTGCAACTCTGCCCCCCATCACTGGTTTCTATTGTGGCTGGAACCTAACGCAATCACTACGTGGAGAAGGAAGAGAGCTACGTGGAGGAAAGCACGTGTGCACCCAGTTTAATGAGAACCTTGCAGTCAACACAATTTTTGTTCGTCTTGTGCTCTTTGTTTCTAAATGCTAATCCTGAATTTTGTTAGCAGCAGGTACTTTTATCAAAAGATACTCCCTTTCGCAGACAGATGCCAGAGCAGAAAGCAAGGAATCCACAGCCCTTCCTAGAGGATGGTTTACATGTCTCATCACCCTAACAACTCCCTGTGGTGGTTGATGGAAGTCAAGTCCATCCACATGAACATAAGTTTCAATTCATGTATAAAAGAGAAGGGAATTTCATACATTAATAAGATGTTCATAACGTATACAGTACTCCTTATGTCCCTTGGCCGAAGTCGCAAATTGTAAGAACCTAGGCCCTTCTCTACATAACGAACAATTAATATATCACTGTTGCATGGATTCTGAAGTTGACACAGCAAAACCACTCATGGCCAAATGAGTGATAACAACATACTGATATGCGTCACACAAGACCTTATTTGCTGCCTGCTGACTTGCCATCCTTAGGACATAATGTGGAAATGACTTACGTTACTATTCAAACCACGTATGTTCAAGCAAGCAGGAAAATTATGTTAAGTAAAAAGGAGACTCTTGCTTTATTTTTTGACAGAGTAAGTGCTGAGCTACCCAGAAATTTTCAGATGTTAATGCAGTTGACTGAAATGGCAGAAATCATCAGTGTTTGTACTGCTGTTCAGTTTTGCACTGAAATAACAAGAAACCATAGCTGACAGTTTTGCAAACTCACTTCATTTAGTTTTAACATTTTTCTCCTCTGGCTAAATAACACAAAAGCCTCACAAGTACTACTATTATTCTATGATTGAAATTCACTTAATGAGAGACCTTTACTTAATGATGCTATTCTTTCAGAAAAATACTACAAAATGGTTCTGCTGTATGCAGTGCTAAAACGTAATGGGTGAAAACCTGTTGCTTTGAATAGTAAGTCACATTAGAGTTGTTGTTGTTTAGTCGTTAAGTTGTGTCTGACTCTTCCTGACCCCATGGAGCAGAGTGTGCCATTCCTGTCTTCCACTGCCTCCCGGAGTTTGGCCAAATTCATGTTGGTAGCTTCGATGACATTGTCCAACCGTCTCGTCCTCTGTCGTCCCCTTCTCCTCTTCCCTTCACACTTTCCTAACATCAGGGGCTTTTCCAGGGAGTCTTCTCTTCCCATGAGATGGCCAAAGTATTGGAGCCTCAGCTTCAGGATCTGTCCTTCCAGTGCGCACATTAGAGTAGGCCCATTGAAACATGGGGATTTGGTGAGTCAACTCCTCCATACATTCCACTGAGTCAAAAGGGCCTGTTCTAGAGCAAGTTACTATGTTAACCAACAGGATTTCAGCCAATATATTGCTATGCAAGATGCACATTGAAAAATTCTGCTTCTCTTTAAACAGGAGTGTCCCACTGCATCTAAAGCATGGGTGGGGCAGGGCACAATGGACTCTATTTACTTTAAATAGCAAGCAAAAGCTCCCACTTTCCTCCTTCGAATAACACTGGAAAATAAAAGGGAAGTCCAAGGCTTGATGCTGCCCATGCAAGTAAAGCTAAACAATGGGTTTATGGCAGGCATGGGGAACCTGTTATCCTATAACTGTCAGATGCCCCAGCCAACATGGTAAATGGATAGGAATTATGGAAGTTGTATTTCAGCAACATTTGGAGTGCCACAGATTCTGCATATTTCATTTAGTCCTACTCTATAATTAGTTTCTAAGTTTGCAGAGATGTTGTGATTCTGTCAGAAACCTATTTATCAACTCCTGTTTGCCAGGTACATTTCCCCTTCCTTATGTAACAAAAATATCCCTATGCAAAATCACTCTTACGTCCCACAAAGTTCAACTGGACTCACTCTCAGATAAACAGACATTTTATTACAGCCTAAACGGTTACAAACCAAGAACTGACCATCCAAGCCAATTTTCATAACAAAGAACATAAGGGAACACAAATCAGGTCCTAAAAAAATCTTGGTTGCTATCTTAAATGTCATATATAAAATTGCCAAAAACACAATTAACATTCAATTTAAATGTCAGCACCCCACCACCCCGCTTCTGAACAGGACTTTAAATGTGAACTTACCTTTTTTGTCTTCTGGAAATAGAGTTCTGGAAAAGCATGAAGCCAGTATGCTAGTTGAGAGATGTAAAAGAACTTCATTTGAAACCTGCATAATGCAGCAGAAAGAAGTTAAATTTTAAACACATTGGTGCATCTTCTGAAATAATCCTGTTTAAATTAGACGATTCAACAAAGTCACATCTAAACATTTTCAGAAGTGCTCAACAAAAATGATGTATGGAGGAAGCTGCTGGTCACATTCAGTATTAGAAACATTTCTGCAACTTGCATCAGATGATTAAGATGAAATGCTTATACATCATGGAAATATGGGATAATGTGAATACTGTATTTGAAAGTTAGTTAGTAATTGATCTAAAAGTCTGCAATCAGTTGACTGTCAACTGAGGACACATCCTGCTCTGGAAACATAATGAAATAAACTTACGGCATTGCTGTGTGTGGATAGTCCCTCCACAGTGATGTTGGATCAGATACGTAGTTTTCCTGAAAATGATCAGTATTTGTATTTTTAAATAGACATAAATATGAGTCAAATAGCTACAGCAAAATCTGATTGCCTCTAAAATTGGATTACCACTCCTGTAGCTCCTCTTTGAGCCTGTGAGTTTGATCATTTCAGTGTCAAAGGCTAGAATATCATTATCTTGATATTCAACAAATGCTACATATAAAGCATAGCTTTAAAATGTGTACAGGGACCATTCTGGAAACAGAGACTCTTCAGCCATTTATGACATCCCAAGTGGAAGGTCACCTACAACTAGAATATTACTTCTCTTGTCTTTCTCATCCAGAAGACAAGTCAAGTGTATTCTATCACCTGTCTATTCTCATCATCTCTAGAAGATGCTACTAATTAATGTTCAGTACCATAATGGTGTAGTAAGAGAGGCTAAATTACCTATCAGTAGTCCTATGTACTAAGACGGAAGTCCAGGATTGTCATCTTGCATATGCTGATTGTAACAGAAAAAAAATGTTTTGTTCTTTTTAAAGTCAAAACTTATCAGAAATGCTCTCCTTGAAAGAGACCACAAAAGCACACCTCTTTTTGAATCATTTCAAAGTTCCCAGAAATGTACATAACAAAAGCAGCAAGTTAGGCAACAAGTAGCATGTCTGGGGTTTCACCCAGACACACAGAGCGATACTATCTGTAAGTTCAATAACGCTTATTCCTACAGAAGGGCAAGTATACTGTACATTATTACAGTCCAGGCACACATCCTGTTATGGTAATTTAGCGAAGTAACATGCCCCACTGAAATAAATGTATCACATCAAATGTTTCAATAGCCAGAATCCAATCCAATATATTGGTTGCCATGATCCAAAACGCAATACTCTGAAGAAATATTTGTTGGCAATAACAGTGAAATGTTGGCTTTCACTATTATGGGTATAATACTGTATCAAATTGTTCCAGTGTGACTTCTGATTAAACAGTTCAAATGTTCAAGTCATTTTTTAAAAACCTAATAACAAAGTTAGATACTCACAGACACAAGAATGCTTGTTCCCCACACACAGGAAAAAATATAGAATGCACTGAGTTGTCCGGATTCATTGAACTTGCTGTGCTTTGTTTTGGAAAAGTGCATTCGCCTGTTAATTTTCTGTAGGAAAAAGTCATTTGTGTTATTGATCTGCACGAAGGCCTTTGATAAGAAGTTATTTGTCATGTCAAGCAAAAAATTAAAGTAAAGTCTACAATGCCTGCATGCAATCCATTAAACCTTACTGTAGAAATATCCATTAACTGAACTCAGAAATGTTATTAAGCAAAAACAAAACAAAAACAAAGACAAAAATACTGTAGAATGTTAAAAACTAACTGCTATAGTTTGGTGTGAGTTTTAGTAGATTAAGTCCTCAGACATAAGAGTGATATTACATCGCAAAACTCAGAGATAATACTTACATCTAGCATGTACTCTTGAATAATAGCATGTATGATGATTGCCACCAGCATGTAGAAGAAAACAGTAGCCAGATCTTTGACACCATAGTGATACAACGTGACAGTTTCTGTTAACTGATTTTCTGAGAAACAGAAAACAGCACCATGCAAAATACATTAATTTAGCAACTTTCACCCATATTTCACTTGGACATCAAAAAAGGAAAAAAGACTTCCAATTTAATGAATACTATGCTAGGACAGTAGGACCCCCGTATCCAGGAGGGATAGGCTCCATGATTCGAGAAATCACGGATATGAGGGAACCTTATACAGTATACAACATACAAGGAGTGGAACAAAGGCTACAAAGGGCTGCCATGTTATGTTGTATATAGGGCTGCAGCAAATTGTGGATAAGTGAAGCAACGGAGGCTGATCCCGCGGATACGGAGGTCTTACTGTATGTTAGTGGCTTCTATATTTCTAGCTCGGGGATGCGGAATACCAGTTATGGTGGCTGAAGCTTATAAAAGTTGCAGTTAGCCATTCAAAGAGCTACACGTACTTAAACTCATCCTTGCTAATCCATCGTTTCAGCAAGCAGAAATCTTATTATTGTCCTATCTGACACACATCATGAGAAGACAACATTCACTGGGAAAGGCAGTAACAGTGGTGTAAGTTAGCAGTAGGAAAAGTGAAAGACTAAACATTAGATGGACTGCCTCAAGAAAAGTGAGAGTTTACAGGGTTCCCATAAACTGACCAATAACAATGACCAATAACAACAAAGCCACAGTACACATGTTAGTAATATAAGCAGAAGGTTACGTGATAATCCATGTAATATCTTTTTTTCTTTTAAATAAGACTTTTATATGTTATTAGCCACCAGATTCAAAAATCAGTTTAGGTAAGAATCACAGAACTCATTGGTAGTTAAGAACAAGATCATGAGGAACTCCTGGACTACATGCTCTTTTCTTTTCTAGAATTACTGCTCTGACTTTAAATCAATAAACTGACACTTTGTCAAAACTGGTGTTACCCCTAACCCCAGATCTGGAAAACACTATCAAGCCACTTTTTTTTGATCCCCACTTGAAGGGCAAATGCAAGCCTCATGGTTTTGATGGGAAACAATGGTAAACTATAGTTTGTTGCAAATCAGGAAGAATGAAATCAGGATCCATGTTGAGGAAGGAACCAAAGTAATGAGAAAGGATGCATATTCTAGATTTTTTCCAGGTTTCTTTATGCAGCACCCAATACTAGTATGCTAGATCTTGAGATAGTAACTACTGATGCACACAATCTTAAATCCGGCATATCAGATTACATAGTAACATACTGGTATTTCACCTTATGCCATAGAACAGCGGTCCCCAACCTTTTCAACCCCGTGGACCGGTTGGGGAAAATGGGGCACCCCTTGCATGCATGCATGAAGGAGCAGGAGGACCTTTGTGTGCATGCACACACTCATGCACATGTGTAAAGGGCGGCGCGGTGCTCGGGGGCACTCATGTGCATGCGTGAAGGGGGGGAGGTCTGTCTCTGTGGCCCGGTCCAGCTCAGGCCACGGACCAGCACTGGTCTGCGGACCGGGGGTTGGGGACCTCTGCCATAGAACAAATGCCTAAATATCCAACAGAAATTTACCTGTGGCAGGAATAGTAACATTATACTGAAGTGTAACAAATACAACAGCTGCTTTTGCCGTAACCTGAAACAAAAGAAAGTCTAAATAAAATCCAGTTGGCAAGGAACACATCAAGGGATCAAACCCTTGTTATGGTCACATTGTAATGCACCTTTATGTTCAGCAAGATTTATATTTGAATGCATATATATCTTCTAAAGTGAAATAACAGCATTCAGCAACACTTGAAATGCTATGCACTTGGTTTTCAGAAAAGATATCATATACTATCACAAGAAACTGGTTATTACCATAATTGTTTATTATGCAACAGCCCAGGACTGCCAGCATATGTCCAAATAACTGTTTTAATAGCTTTCTTGTCCAGTTATGCTCATTAAGTTTTATAAGAGCCAGCATTTTTAAGTTTCCTGCCCAGCCACCTGGAGGCAGTTTTCACATGGCCCAAATGGCCAGGTGAGCATAGGTAGGTAGTTACAAGACTGGTTGTCCAAATAACTTAAAAGCAACTTCACTGCTGATAGTCATTTGATATGCAGTGGTGCCTTGCTAGACAGTTACCCCGCATGACCGTTTTTTCGCTAGACATTGGCCTTTTGCGATCGCTATAGCGATTCGCAAAACAGTGGTTCCTACGCTGGACAATGTTTGATCCCTGCTTCGCAAACTGATTTTCGCTAGATGATGATTATGACAGCTCCCTCCGCGCTCACAAACAGGTGTTTTGGGGACCTAAGGTTCGCAAGACAGCGATTTAAACAGCTATTGGTGGTTCGCAAAGCGGCTTTCCTATGGCCTATCTTCACTAGACAATGACGATTCTCCCCCATTGGAACGCATTAAACAGGTTTCAATGCATTCCAATGGGGAAATGCTTTTCGCTGGACAGCGATTTCAGTGGAACGGATTATCATTGTCTAGCGAGGCAACACTGTACTTATTTCATATAACACAATATAACAGCCTACTTTTCAAACAGCTGTTCCCAATTAATCTGAGTTGAGACATATGCACCAGGGCATCACTCATAGGCAAGTGAACATGGGATATACTAGTTTGTGCAATTACTTGTTTTTTTAAAGAGCAAAATATGCAGAAATACAATGCAAGGAAAGCTACCAATTCAATTAGTGGAGTGCAAATTAAATGGTCTATGGGTATTTACATACCAACTCCTCAGCAGGGAAAAAAAGCTGCTATTTTCACTTGCATTCTCTTTCAAAACTGTATAAATCTTTTGTTTCCTAAAAGAGTAAGAACTTGAACTGTCCCTTTTTGAATGGGTTCCACTGGTGTCTTAATTGTACTAAAATTCTTTGCTCTCTATATGAATTCCCATTACTCTATCAAAGAACCCAAGTCCCACCCTGGTGATGATGATAATAAAAGTAATCATCTTAGAAATGTAGGGACCCTTTGGATCATTGATTCCAACTCCTGTCAAGGAGGCACAGTGTGGAATCAAACTCTGAACCCTCTGGCTTCGCAGCCGGATACTTAAACCACTGAGCTATACAATAATTCACAGGCACCCCATGTTTAAAGTCCTTCTCATGGACAACATATGACTAGGAGAGTTGATAGGAGCCAGGAAATCGCAACAGCAGGAGGACACAGGGATTGAGATATACTGAATTTTGGTTTATTTTTGTTATCATTGTTATGACAGCCCTGTGGCACACCTAGCCTATTTCTCATCCCCATCTCCTGTGTCCATATACTGGGGCCCGTCGTCTACAGCAGCTCATTCAAACTGGGAGGGTCATTGGCAGCAAAGGGTTGAAAGGGGGAATCCTCAAGTCATCCAGGCTCTTTCTTTCTTTCTTTGCCTCACTCTCCTTTACGGGGAAAGCAGCCCAGAGAACGGGGCCAGAAGACAGCTTTTCCGTTTACCCCTCAGAGCCTCCACGCTTTGGATACGTGTCACAGCAGAGAGGAGGTGGGGGGGGGCGTGAAACAAGCGGCGAGCGACCCGCCGTTCCGAAGCCCCCGGGAGGCAAACTCGTGGGGGCTCTCTTTGCACACGTCACCGTCCACTTCACCTTCCCCGGAGCAGAGGACAGGGGAGGGGCGGCTTGCCGCAGCGCCCCATGGGGCTTGTAGTTCGGCGCGCGGCACACAAAGGACAGGGAGCCCTCGCTCCCCTGCCCTCCTCCTTCCTCCCCGCCTGCTGGCAAAGCAAGGCAAACCCTCTGCTGTTCCCCCCACCCCTGAAAGCCCTCCTCGCTGGTTCAGCTATTCTTTGAAGTGACTTCTAGTCCATGTACTTAGGAAGCAATTTTTTCTTAGTGTTCCTTAAACATTTTGGTCATCCAGCCCTAACGTTCATTTTCCATATCAATGCCTAGCTCTAGAACATGTGGATCAAGTATGAATACCTCAGAGCATGTGCAAAGTGCATCTTCCTTGCTAGAAGTTACACAATTGATCTCTGTGCACTGGTCTAGTTCAGATAGTTAAAAAGTTCACATTGAGCAATCAAACTGCTTAAATACAGGTGCAGCGTCCGGTCGTTAACAGGTTTCATTAAAACGCCCGTGCAGACAGCTTTTTATGAAACCTGGTTCCGGCCCGGACGCTCCCCCTAGTCCCCCCCCCGCGGAAGACCTCTGGAGAGGGGCCAGGCTTAATTGGACCGGGGGAAGGAGAACCGATCCAAGGATAATAGCAGAAATGGGGCTCCGAGGAGCTCCGGGGGAGCCAGCCCCCCATCCGTCGGGGAAAGGCGGCTGCCCGTCCCGGCAGGACGATGCGCCAACACCACCGTTCGAGGGGCCAGCGGGTCGGTCCTCACGCACACCCACAACACGCGTCGCTGACGCGGCCACAGCTCTAGCCTCCTCCTTTGACACGGGGACCTGCTGCCTCCACCTCTCCTCTCCCCGCAGAAAGCGCAAGGCACCCACCGAGGCCAGATGTTGGCTGGGTGATGATTTCCTACTACCCCGATCTCTTTTGTTCATCCCTGGCTTAGGAGGGAAGCTTTTTTTTAAAAAAAATTAAACCTCCGAGAAACCACATGGGCGCGCCTGCCTGCAAGGAAAGCTCAAACTCTTCCCCAAGCAGCTGAGATCCAACCAGAGAAATCTGGCCGGATTGAGGCGGGTGGGGGGGCATATAGACGTATCCCGTTTACACACAGACACGGGCTAGACCCTTACTGTGTATACTGTTCTCCCCCCCCCGGAGGCGACGAGAAGGACAAACCACAGGGACTAGCATCCTGCCCAATGGTTAGTCTTCTTCCACCTTCCCCAGGATCGAGAGCGACATACAGACCCACTGTACACTTTCCACGGGGAAGAAGCTACCAACGTGCCCACCCCACCCAGATAGCCACCGGGTGTAAGTGACCCAGACCGAGCGTGCGTGCGTATGGCTGTGTGTGTGTGTGTGTGTGTATATGGGGAGGGGGCCCACAAGAGTCGCCGCCTTCCCTTCCCTCTCTCTCCCCCCCCCTCACCTCGAACATCAGCCCAACCAAGAAGACCATGGCCATGCAAGAGACGATGTCCGCGTGGTTCTGCACGACGAACTCGTGGCTGAGCACCGGAGGGTTCTTGTTGCTCTTCTTGCGGATCGCCATGGCGGGCGGGGAGCAGAGCGCGGCCGGCCAACCGACCAGGCAGCCCAGTCGGTCAACCTCTGCTCGGCCCCGGCTCCTCCACCACCGCCATTTTTGCTTTGCAACAGGAGAAATAAGATGATTGGCTGGAAGAATGCAGAAGGTGAGCCAATCCAGGAGAGCCTGCGGGAGGGGGGGGGAAGAAGAGGGGGAGGAGGAAGCCGCCCGAGCAACCGCTCCGCCTAACGCGGTCTCCGCCTCTTTCTTCCCTCGACGCTCTAGCCCCGGCGTTGCGAACCTGCCGCTCGTCGTTCCCGAGGAAGATTTTCCCCTCCGGAGGCCTCCTCGCTTCAGGCTAGGAAGTGCGGCGAACTTTTCACAGCGCCCTCTTTCGGGGAGGCGGACGAACAAGACCAAAAACGGGTCGCGACTCGCGGCTGCCTTGGGTGTTGACGACGCCAGCCTGGCCGGCTTTGCTTTACGTTGGGCGGAGGCGCTCGTCGTCGCGAGCCGCTTCGTGCGGGATCGAAAAGAAGCGCCGGCCGAGAGAAAAGGAGGGCTTTTCGGGGGGCGGAGCCTGTGGCACAGCGTGACGCGGCCGGGCCAGAGAAACTGTTCCGAGTCGGGCGAGCGTCCAAAGAAGTTCGGCCTCTCCGCTTTGCGGATGAGCGTGACCGCCCCGCGCGCCCGCCGCTTGGAGGAGGAGGAGGAGGAGCGGGGTGGGTCGGGAAGGGCGAATGGCCGTGGAGAGGGCTCTCCTTTTGCCGTATCGCGAGCGGCTACGTGGCATGAGTGTTGTAGTCAGTCGGTTAGTTCCCCCCCCCCTTGGGATCTTGTTTTTAAAACCAGTGCTGGACGATTCAGGCACCGGGATATTACTTGCGGCAGATCATCTCCTGAAACGTTTGCTTCTTAATAATTTCTTTTGTGTTTGTGTGGGCGCTGGTTGTATTCCGTACAACGCATAGGGGCTCCTTCCAAAACGGGCCAGTTTGCGCGGCCCTTTTTAAAAATCGCCAAGATGCCCCTTGCTCAATTATTTTCTGTCTTCTGCATCTAAAAATGTTACCAGAAAAAGGCTGCGGGGAGCAAGGCGCGGAGGGAGGATTCCCGCAGGGGTACCCCTCCCTCGCTTCTTTTGCCGGTCTCAGCCTTGCTATTGGATATGCAAAAAGCAAAATATAAACACAGATTAAAAATATAAATCCCACAACAAAACACCCACAACCCACCTTGCTTCCCCACCCCATTGGAGAACCGCAAATTCCACTTGCCTTTTTTTTTGGAGCAGGATAGTGCTCAGAAAAAAGTGTCTGCTCTGCTAGGAGCAAAAAAGAAAGGAAGGGCACCAGAGAAAAAAGGAAGAAGTAGGACCAAGCTATGAAGGCAGAGAAAGAGAATATTTTTAAGAACAGCTGCCTGGTTTGTGCTCTTCCCCACCCCCCTGCAAGGAATAAACGCTGGTGGCAAAGGCATCCTAGAGCCTTTGCTGAAGTGCAAGGGGTTTACACCAGGCTCCAGGAGGAAACCAGAAAACATGGGAAGTCAGAAATTAACAAACTGTTACATCAAGTGGAGAAAACCATGAGAACTTCAGTGACCAGATATATTTTGGAGAACAGGTTTTCCATTTAGATGAGCCCTAATGGCTTTAGGATTTAAAGAAGTCATAGGACTCTGAGCTAATACATGCTGCTAGGTATCTCTGACAGTTTTTCCAGGATGGCAGCTGTGTCTCGCACTGGCACCCTTAGGCTTTAAGGTGCGACATTTTGGGACACCTTAGAGGCTAAGATTTTATTATGGCTTAAGATTTACTTGCCTTCAGTTTACTTCAGCAGATACATATCTTTGCTGGCTTACTATATTAGGTAAAAGATTATCACTGGAGTCAAAGGCAGCTGGAACAAAACCTACAAATATTACATTACCTTAATGACTGTTACAGAGTATTCTGGGAGGTTGATACTAATATTCTTGGACTGGTAAATCAATTAGCATGTGTAGAGTGGGGGAAAAAACGTGTGTCCTTACATGTGCCACAAGATTGTTGAATCAAGTCCACTTCTGAAATGTGTACTTTAATTGGGGGAGCGTGTAACCTTGACCACAATCTATTGCAAACCTTCACCCTGTTCATTGCTGTCTTAATCTAGATTAAGTTTCAATTCCTTTGCCCATAGTCATCCCAGAACAACTTCTAGACATCGACTTAAGGCTGGAATCGGGAACTTGGTTTTTCAGATGTTTTTGTCTTCAACTTCTAGAAGCCTCAGCCAGCATGGCCGGTAGTACAGGACACTGGGAGTTGTAATCTAAAACATCTGGAAGGCTAATTGTCCCCCAATCTTTATTTAAAGATACCTTCCCCATACTGTTGACTCCTTAGCCAAAACCTCCCAGTGATCCAGCAGCTTTATAGGGATATTGAAAAGCTTAAAGCAGGGGTGTTCAACCTTTCACCTTCCCTGGGCCACATTAAAAGATGAAAATTGGGTTTGGGCCGCACATACATTTGGTTTGGGCCGCATGGGGGGGGCAGCCCTAGCCATCCTCCACAGCCCCGCTCCAAGCACGCTTACCAGCAGCTGCGATCTCAGACAGCAGAGGCTGCCAGCTTTGACTCCGGTGGCTTTATGGAGCCGGGAGGGGGTCCACCTATTGATGGGGACAGCACAATGCAGTCACGCAGCCTCCCTGTCCCTTCCCCTCCCACTCCTTCCTTCCTTCCCTCTCTCCCCCTCTACTGTTGTGACATGCCCCAGCCACATTCCGGCCACAAGCACCGGCAGTGTAACTTTAAACTTTGGAATTTCTTTAAAAATAAAAAATTGCACTGGGCCGCATTACGAGCTGACCTGGGCCGCAGGTTGGACAAGCCTGGCTTAAAGCATTTCACACTAAATATATTCTGTTTCTATACCTGTGAAAGCATCAGGACCAGTTGGAGAGCATTTAACTTGAGGTAGTTGGTTATATATTTTAAAATCCACATTCTCAATAAAATAGCTGACTGTTCAGAGTCAGCCAAATAAGATAGTTCTTATCCTAGTCTATGAAGATTCTCTGTTTCTTTTGCACCTTAGCTTTCATTTGCACAGTTGTTATACTTTTGTGTACTTACAAAATCTTAAAAGGATCTATTTCTGTATCAGAAAAAAAAGTGTAATATGCCAAGGTGGATAAAAGTTTCAAGGAGTGATGTTAAGTGAAATCATGCTACGCTTTACTTTTCCTAACGTGTCATAGCCAATAAAAGTATGGCTTATTTGCCTCCAAGGGCACAGGGAGGGGGCCCTCATTTAACCAATCAGATGTGCTGTCCAAATGCATTTGATTCCTCATGTTTACAAAGGCAGATGTTTCATCCACACTGGCTTGTCAGTTCGTCCATGTGGCTGATGTGGAGCCTGCAGAACCTATGCTGGTCCTGAGCAGGCTTCTCCTGCATGAACACGAAGGCTGCAATCCTATCCACATTTACATGACACGACATCCTATTGACCACATGGGGCTTACTTCTGAGTAGACATGCACAATGTTTTAAGTGATGTTGAACTTTATGACATCATTGTGCCACTGCTTCTATGCAGACATCTATGTACAATTCTATAGTATTTCCTAGCCCCCTTTCCCTCTAAATTGTGCTTTTCAAAGTCCACCTAAAGAAAATACGAAGCAAGCTTGATAACTCTTCATAAGTACTGGAAGAAAAATAAAACTCAAACTTGTCCAAAAAAGTAGTGCTGGGAAAATAAAGGAACGTACATTTCACAAACACCTTACAAAGTACAGTGGTGCCCCACTTAACGATTACCCCACTTGATGATGAATCTGCTTCATGACGATGTTTTTGTGATCGCTATTGCAATCGCAAAACAGTTTTAATAGGCAAAATCCGCTTTATGACGATCAGTTCCCTGCTTCGGGAACAGATTCTTTGCATTATGACGATCAAAACAGCTGATTGTCGGGGTTTCAAAATGGCTGCTGGCTGTTCAAAATGTGTTCAGGATGGATTTTTTGCTGCACAGGCATCGGAAAATGGCCCTATGGTGGATCTTTGCGGGACACTGAGGTATTTCACCCATTGGAACGCATTGAACCGGTTTACAATGCATTTCAATGGGCTTTTTTTAGTTCGCTTGACGAGGATTTTGCTTTGCCGGGGTGGGGGTGGGTGGTAGGGGAGGCCCGCCCCCCCAGAGCCCCCCTCGCACTGCTTTCGGAAGTCTGGGGCTTTTTCAGCAGTGAAAATGCACCTCTGAAAGCCCCGCTTTGCCGTAGGGGGGCGCAAGGGGGTGGCAGGCCTGTCCCTGCCACCCACCCACCCCCACCCCGGCAAAGTGACACTTTCAGAGGCTTCCCCAGTGCATTTCCACTGCCTATTTACCTGCTGGGGAAGCTTCTAAGAGCACTGCTGATCAGCTGTAAGGCGGGGAGGGGGAGGGGCTGGAGCAGGGAAGATGGCTCCTGGCTCTTTTTTGGGAGGATTGCTTCCCCCCCTCATTGCAAGCTGTGCAAAAATGGGGCATTTGCGATGATGGGGGGGGGAAGCCATCATCGCAAAGCGATTTTTCCCTATAGGGAACATCGCAATGCGATCGCAAAAGCGATCACAAAATCTTCATCGCTATGTGGATTCATCGTTAAACGGGGCGCCCGTTAAGCGAGGCACCACTGTATTTGTGTAATACCATATTATGCATATATTACAACTACTGTGTATGAACTTCTGTATGTGGTTGAAGGTGTTGCAAGGTTTTTTGTTTTTTTTTAAACCAATTCACTCATTCAACACTGGAGCCATCTTCCATCATTTCTCTAATTGGTTTCTAACTTGACCACCTGAATAATGGAAAAATTTGTGTATGAGAGGAAAATGTTAGCAGTTATCAGTAAATGTATTTATGAAGCTGGCATACCTTACTGGCCTATGTATTATTTCTATCTGTTGCTGAAGTGCTATTTGAAAGAACATACTACAGCAGCTTCTGTGCCAACAGCTGTACTTTATTTAATTCACTTTGTTTAAAAGCAGATGTCATGGGATTTGTAAGGATTATTCAAGTGTTATCTTTCTGTGCATACCCCATGTGAGACATTATCTCTGTGCACTCCATGTGAAGAATGGAATGCTCTAGCACTACCACCTCCACAGTTCCTTTCACGTAAGAGTGATATACGCGAGGAGCAGACCCAGCCAGATCAGGGGAAGCTCTATATATGAATCAGAACTCCAAGTGTTGTATTCTGCTTTTGAGATGTAAAACCTACATGGATACAATCTGATCTCAGACCTATCACATTTGTACAAAGACAGCTATGAAAAGGAAGTCAAGCTACATCACTCCCCTGTGTATGTGTGGAATACCTGAACAGGGCTCTTTTCACAGCAGATTCTATTGAAGTATCCAAGTATATTATTCTGTGAAAAAACATCAGTTTGACTTTGCATTTAAAACGTTAATTTCACTGCTTTAAAGTCACAAAAGGTGCATATATACACCAGGATCACTCTTGGTTTATGTTGTAATTATAAATTGCTTTTCCACCTGAGGTTGGGAGAATTTTCATATGCTGAAACAGAAGCAGAAGATAACTAAACAAGCAGGCTTATGAAAATGTTATTTAAAATGCAGATTTAAAGTTTTTATCATAACACATTAAGCAACAAGTGATCAAAAACAGGTTTAAATTGTACAATATGGCCTACTAGTATATTGTATCACTCAAAAGACTGGCAACAATTTAATTTCCATTATAATATCCATTTTTATATTTGAGAAAAATATTTTTAGTCAAGTAATCATCTGTTAAAATTACAGAGAATTCATAATGTTTAACAATTATTTTATATAATTATTTTATATAATTCAGGATGCAGTCCCTGGCAACAATTTAATTTCCATTATAATATCCATTTTTATATTTGAGAAAAATATTTTTAGTCAAGTAATCATCTGTTAAACTTACAGAGAATTCACAATGTTTAACTGAGAGATGTTCAATTATTTTATATAATTCAGGATGCAGTCCTGTGCTCACTTTCTTGTGTGTAAGCTCTATTGAACTTAGTGGAACTTCCTTTTCAGGGGATGTGCACTAAGACTATTTGTATGTATCATCTTTTATACTTGGCCATTTTGATGCAGAGTACCCATAATCTAACTTACAGAGAATTCACAATGTTTAACTGAGAGATGTTCAATTATTTTATATAATTCAGGATGCAGTCCTGTGCTCACTTTCTTGTGTGTAAGCTCTATTGAACTTAGTGGAACTTCCTTTTCAGGGGATGTGCACTAAGACTATTTGTATGTATCATCTTTTATACTTGGCCATTTTGATGCAGAGTACCCATAATCTAAGACTACTATTAAAATAATGTGTCTATAGAGGCATTTGAGCTACATTTGCACACAGATATATTTCACAGTCATTCTATTGTGTTAATACTGTATTTTTTAGCCTTGTATCCTATTTTCAGTGCTTGATATTATATTTACGTTATGCCTTTAACTGCTTTGAATTTTGATAAAGTGGGATATATGTTATTTAAATAAATGAAACATTTGTCATGCTAATCTATTGTCTCTATTAGAGTACTACCTTTATTTGCCACCTCTATTTATGAACATATGAATGTTTGAATTAAAACCAGGACAAGAAAACCAGTGATCAAGCATTATTTCACTAAAAGATTTAGATATCATAGCAATCTTTACTTTATCCTATTTCTGTAGTTTTCATCAGTATCCTTCAATAACTGAGTACTCATACTTATTTAAATCTAAGTTGTATTGTTAAAAAGGATGTGCTAATATCCAAAGAGCCTGATGGTTTTTAAAGTACTTTTTAGGTAAGTTAAAAAGAAGTCAGTGTCAAATAGTTAAGTGGTTTTGAATTTTATCATAGTATTAACATGAGATATTAGCATGCTGTTTATGGTGTTGCTTGATTACGCTCCTTGCTTTATTTTTAGGTTTGTTTTTCATTTTTGTTTTGGTTTATATATTTGTGTATTGACAACCCTGAATTTGATTTTACATGAAAAGGCAGCATAAAAATGCCACTAATAAAATAAAAATACAGTTGACTGTGGGATGGTATGAGGTTGCTGTTTGCAAGATACAAAAGTACAGTGATTTTTAGTGTAGAAAAGTGCAGTTCTTTTGCACTTGGACCAAGTGTAGGCCCAGACCTCATATCTCTGACATACATTTTGTATGATCATGTAGCTACCTCTTCTGCCCTTGTTCTGGTGCATCTTCGGAGACCACATTTAATGTCATTGCAGAGGGGTCCCTCAACACACAGCAAAAGCAGACTCAGCAAGTCCATCAATCTTTTGAGTGGCACAGGGGTACTGGTGGGGAGAACAGCCAAGAAATTCTCGATGTATGAGCAAAGTTCTAGTCATTTGTCTCTGGAACCAACCGATAATCGTAAAGTGGAGCTGTATAAAACTGCATACTTAATATGAAAATGACTAAGGACTATTTTATTAAATTGTATAATTTTTAGATGGACGATTTTGACACTCGAAATGATTTCCTTAGGCTGTAACCTTATATCCATGTGCTAGGAAAAAGTTGCATCAACAGCAGCAAGCCTGACTCCTGAATAGGTAGGTACAAGTTTCCTTTGTTAATATCTGCTACACAACTGACCACCAGAATAATTTTTTTAAAAAGCGATTTTATGACAGATGTGGCTCTTTGCTTCTGTTTTGCTCCTCTTGGTTGTGCATAAACAAACCAGAACTAGAAAGTTCAGATCTGAATCCACCAAGTAACATCAGCATATGGAACTGGTTCCTTCAGGGGATTTGGGGATGTGATCCTCCCTTCTCCCTAAAGCCCCCATGCATCCCAGAAACCTAATCTGGAGGACCAAGGCTTGGGTAGCACCGGTGGCTAGGCTGGGAGAAGAAAGTTCCACTGAGCTGGAGCTGTAGGGACGTTGGCTGTAGGTCTCTATGTGTTACCCAAACCAGGGCTCTTGGCTTTTGACTGCAAACAAGTCAGTTTTAAAACAACATGTCCTGCTTGCAATCTCACCTTTGAAAGCCAGGAGACCCAGTTTAGATTACACATTTTCTGGTCAGTTTTGTCACTCTTACTATTGAGCAGCACCAAGGTCACTTACAGGAATCTAGCATTCGCTTGAATTCTAGCTTGCAATTACTTGTGAACACACAACTCCTGTTTATATTCTTACTGCTTGCCATGACATATTTAACTCTGCTCTGTGAAAATCAGTTGCAAACAAGTCACAGTTTTGAAACCAACATGTCCTGCTTGCATTCTCACCTTTGAAAGCCAGGAGACCCAGTTTAGATTACACATTGTCTGGTCAGTTTTGTCACTTTTACTATTGAGCAGCAAGCACCAAGGTCACTTACAGGAATCTAGCATTCGCTTGAATTCTAGCTTGCAATTACTTGTGAACACACAACTCCTGTTTATATTCTTACTGCTTGCCATGACATATTTAACTCTGCTCTGTGAAAATCAGAGCCAGGAGAAGAGTATCAGATTGTCTTGGAGTAAAACATATATAGGTGCGCTTTCAGAACGCAGCAAAAATTTCAATGAGGACAAGGCTACTTACACACTTTTCCTTCTTTCTCTAGTTTCTTCAAGTGGTGTGTGAGGTTAATTTCTGCAGCTTTATGTAAGTGTTCAGGTGTGTCCTAGATTAAAATAAGTAAAAATATATGAATTAATCATTTAAAATGTCAACATTTTTAAAACACATGGCACTCTATTATTGTAAGTTCTGTCAGGACATTTTAAAAAGGCACAGAAGTATTGTAATGCCAAGACAAAGAACCGAGACAGATTTAAACAAACTAAAACAAACTTGTTGACTTTTATCTTCCTGACCAAAACATTACAGTAGCTCTTTTTGTGTTCATTGGGGAAGATAAAAACATCTACTTTGTGTCACAGAAGAGGCTTGAGCTAATGGGATCTTGGGCATTTTCACCTTGAATATCTGACCTCTATACCAGATCACAAATTGTTATTTAAAGATTCCTTTCCGTTTCAGAAGCAGTGAACAATGCGGCCATGCAAGAAGCTAAAGGATATGAGAAATCATGGGTCCAGTGCTCTCTTGGGCTGACAAAAATGAGTGATTCTAGACAATGTTGCTATGCAGGACAATTCTCACCACATCCTACTATTAATTCCCCCCTCCCCAAATTTTGCATCTGACATGCTTGTGTGTGGTTGTCACAGTATTGCTTAATTTTGTCAGTGTGAAGAGTACTACGTAGTACTGTATCAAGCTGCCATTGTGTGTGTATGTCTAGAATGCACATTTATTTTTCTTCTTATTGCCATCACAGCGAGAACAATACTTCTGATTTTCTTTCTAGGTTAAATGGTAGTGAAGAGGTATTTTCTGGGTACCCTAATGTTTAGTTGTTTTGCTTCATTATCCCTGTGGTCACACTGCTTTAAAGCTAGCATATTTCACATCCTTGCTTGTGGTTTATATACCACTATACAGGGTGGGTCAGCAAAAGCAATCATGAACTTTGAGAATCTATATCTGCTATTTTTCAGAATATCCACAATGCCTAATGTAAAACTTGGTGCAATGTACTGTATATTGTCAGCCATAAGTAGGCCAGTCATTGAATCAGCTAAGGCATCATATTATTTAAGTATAAATTTGTATAGATTAAATATTCATAATCTGAATGTCCATTTTGCACATTTGAAGCTTTCTGCAGGTATGACATCATCTTTTTTTTTGGCTTTGCATTTTGCAAACATTGCAGGTTTAAAAACTGTTTTCCTTAGAAAATGCTGTGTGGAAACAACATTGATTCTGAAAAAAGTAACTGGCATATTAACATTTCATCAAACTAAGAGTGTGGAGATAGGAAACCAGCTAATGAAGCTTTCTCCATTAAAAGATCACATGTACACATCACTTATCTTGTTATAATAACTGCTAATTGGGAGATGTTATTTCTAATGCTACTGCTTTGAGCAAAATGAAGATTCGTTCCTAATTTAAAAATCGATGTCAGCTACCTTGTATACAATTTTCACAAGTTCTTCTGATGTAAGAGATTTTCCAGCATTCTCTTGCAAAACATTTAGGACCTGGTGTTCACGTGCATTTCTGTGAGAAATGTATTCTTGAATTTTAGTTCTTGCCTCTTTTACTACTGGACCATGTCCTATAAGGGGATGGGGAAGGAAATGTATATAAGTAAAATAGTGGAAAAAAGAGAATACACTGATGCCAAAAATATACCTTTTAAATGCAGATTATATTGTTTATTAAGATGCCCAAAGTAAGTGGCATGGTTGCCACATATATCTCTAATTTCTTATTGAATAGGATGTGTTATAGCCAATTAACCTATGTGTTACATGAAGCTCTTTCCATCAGCAACTCACAATGTGAGAATTTAGAATGTAAAAATGTAAAGTAGTTTTATATCATAGAGTGTTATCCCACTACTTCCATCTTTACTGTTCCTGATCTCTTGCACAGGACTTCCAAGTACTGTACTCAATTCTGAATAAAAATATTTTCAATAATATGGGGAGTGATTGCCCTCTGGTGGTCAAAGGACTTTTCACTAATACAGTGTGGCTGAAATCTTGCTTAGTGTAAGAAAATAGTAAGGTTTTGCCTGTTCCTAGTCTGTAGTCTTTGCTGTGATTATTGGGTGTCCACATGCACACTGGATTGGTACATATCTGTGTGCTGCAAGAATTATGACAAGGCCTGCACATTTGGTGGTCAGGAACAGACGGGAAGTTACGAATTTTCTTATGCTAAGCAGCAGGATTTCAGCCAATCAGCACATGTTCATTTATCTAGGTCCACCTATACCGAGCATTTGTTCAACCTTCCTTGTACTCATGATACTGATCTTGCCTCCTGGATAAATGTTTACATCTAAAAGCTGTTGGGTGTAGAGCTGCAGCAGATAAATACTGTATTCAGCAGATAATTCATCAGCCAGAAGAGAGTTAATTATTTTCCTAGTTAAAACTATTCATGATTTAGGTGTTCCACAGATCACTTTGTATGTTACTACATAGGTTGCTCGCCTTCATCCAAAAATGTTAAGTCCCCCTCCCTCTGTTGTTGGCAATGTGCCTACCAAAAATGTTTCTTCTCACATATAAAGCTTACATGTAATCAAGAACACACAGAGCCTAGACATGAGCTGCAGTGTCACCACTTTAAACATGTCACTTTCTAGGTGATAACAGAGGGGGGAAGGGTTGAAAACTCCCCTCTCTATGGACGGTGACAGCCCTGTCAGTAACGCCTGAACAGGGCTAATGATTAACAAAGGGATCACATGGTTCTGGCTATGCAGAGCAAAACAGCAGTCTTGGAAGCAGGAATTGTGCAAGGGGAGGATAATAAGTGATACAGCAATTATTCAAGTTAAAGGTGTCACTAACCAGGATATATTAAATCAACTTTCATTTCCAGTAGCTTTTCCAATGATTTCATATAATCATGAAGGTCTTCAAACACAGCTGTTCCTTCGCCTAAAATACAGTCACCAGAAAATATAGCATTTTCTTCTATGAGATGTAAAGCCATATGATCATCTGTATGACCAGGTGTATATAAAACTCTGGAAAAATGATAAAGTCAACACATTAAAATTTTACCATGTTTTTCCACAGTAAAGTTTACAAGGCAGCTAGCAAAATCTACAAATATACTAAGGCAATAAAATCATAAAAGGCAATTTTAATCTATTCTTTTTACTGTTAAAAACTAATAAAATACCTTTTGGTCATATAATTTTTAATAGAAACTTTAAGAATAATCCATAGCATATATAAAACCTAATGTAGCAAGTGTCTGTCTAAATGTCTTCAAAGGCTAGTTAGCTGAGATGAGATTAAATAGGTTTCTCTTCAAAAAGCGTTCCAAAACCTAGATGCAGTCACTGAGAAAACTCTGTCTTGTGTCTTTAACCAGCACACTGGTGATGTTTGTAGGACTGGAGAAGGGTTGTTTTTTTTTTTGAAGAATTTAGTCAGGTTCATATGAGGAAATGTGCTCCTTCGGGTAACTTGGTCTCAAACCCTTTAGGACTTTAAAGCTAACTACCCCGAAATATGTCTACAAAACATATCAAGACATTCTTCTTAGAAGAATGGAGTCACATACGTCTGGTTTTATTTATTTATTACATATCTATTCAATCTTTCTCCCAATTCAGGGACCCAAGGCACCTTACAAAATGGTAAGAAGAAGGCAGACCCATGTGGTATGCATTATGTCAAAACAAACAAAACACAACAAAGGAATGAGTCACCATGGCTTTTTCTGATACAGTGGTGCCTCGCATAACGAGCCTATGCATTATGTCAAAACAAACAAAATACAACAAAGGAATGAGTCACCATGGCTTGTTCTGATACCGTGGTGCCTCACATAACGAGCGCCCCGTTTAACGAAGAATCCGCATAGTGATTCATTTTTTTGCGATCACAAAAGCAACCGCATTGCGATGTTCCCTATGGGGAAAAAAGCAAAGTGATTTTTCCCCATAGGCCCTCGGCGGGCGCTTCGCAACAGCCATGGGGGAGGGCTCCCCCGCTGGCGCTTTGCAACAACGGTGGGGGAGCCCTCTCCAGAGCCTCCGCTGGGAGGAGGGCCATCAGGAACACCGGGGCCTTGCCCTGCCTCCTGACTTTCCCCAAGCCACCCACTCACCCCCGTCTCCGCTGCCACCGCTGGGAGATGGGAGTAAGGGGTGGTTCGGGGAAAGCCTCCTCCCAACCCTCACCCCCGTCTCTCCCGGCGGGCTTCGGAAGCGGCTTCCGAAACCCGGCGACGGAGATGGGGGTGAGGGCTCGGGAGGAGGGCCGCCCGGAAAACCCGGGCCTTGCCCTGCCTCCTGACTTTCCCCAAGCCACCCACTCCCCCCCGTCTCCGCTGCCACCGCTGGGAGATGGGAGTAAGGGGTCGTTCGTGGCAAGCCTCCTCCCAACCCTCACCCCCGTCTCTCCCGGCGGGCTTCGGAAGCGGCTTCCGAAACCCGGCGACGGAGATGGGGGTGAGGGCTCGGGAGGAGGGCCGCCCGGAAAACCCGGGCCTTGCCCTGCCTCCTGACTTTCCCCAAGCCACCCACTCCCCCCCGTCTCCGCTGCCACCGCTGGGAGATGGGAGTAAGGGGTCGTTCGTGGCAAGCCTCCTCCCAACCCTCACCCCCGTCTCTCCCGGCGGGCTTCGGAAGCGGCTTCCGAAACCCGGCGACGGAGATGGGGGTGAGGGCTCGGGAGGAGGGCCGCCCGGAAAACCCGGGCCTTGCCCTGCCTCCTGACTTTCCCCAAGCCACCCACTCCCCCCCGTCTCCGCTGCCACCGCTGGGAGATGGGAGTAAGGGGTCGTTCGTGGCAAGCCTCCTCCCAACCCTCACCCCCGTCTCTCCCGGCGGGCTTCGGAAGCGGCTTCCGAAACCCGGCGACGGAGATGGGGGTGAGGGCTCGGGAGGAGGGCCGCCCGGAAAACCCGGGCCTTGCCCTGCCTCCTGACTTTCCCCAAGCCACCCACTCCCCCCCGTCTCCGCCGCCGGGCTGCGGAAGCCGCTTCCAAAGCCCAGTGGCGGCGGCGGGGACGGGGGGGAGGGGTGGCTCAGGCAGAGCTGTGAGGCAGGGCAAGGCCCGGGTGGTCCTGGCGGCCCTCTTCCCAGCGACGGCAGCGGAGATGGGGTTGAGGGGTGGCCCAGGGAAAGCCGGGAGGCAGGGCAAGGCCCGGGTGTTCCGGTGGCCCTCCTCCCGAGCCCTTGCTCGCTCGCTGCCCAAGGACTCCCGGTGTCTCCTGGGCTGGCTGGCTGGCAGTGCTTTGCTATGATCATGGCAAAGCAATACTTTTTTAACAGCTGATTGGCGGTTTCAAAATGGCCACCCGCTGTTTTCTGGACGGATTCCTTGCTTATGAGGCACTGAAAATGGCCGCCCCTATGGAGGATCTTTGCTGAACGGTGAGTTTCTGCCCCATAGGAACGCATTAAACAGGGTTTAATGCGTTCTTATGGGGTTTTTTTTTGTTCCGATTAGCGATGTTTCCAGATAGCGACGTTAATCCTGAAACGGATTAACATCGCTATGCGCGGCACCACTGTATTTCTGAAACATACACCTACAGCGGATGCCACATACCTATGCCTGGGTCCAAAAAGTCATACATGCCAGAGGTTGACAGGAAGACATACATTTTAAAAAACTATAGACAGAGAAATGGAACCATCTGAAGTTCCATGCATTCTTTCCTAAATAACTCATACAGCCTATTGAAGCATTTGAAACTTTAGAAAATACTGAAACATTGAGGGGAGTATTCTAGCTCTGCCCCATCTCTCATTACTCCTTATATATTGAGGGCAGTGCAACTGAAGAGGTAAAGCCTGTAAAAGATAGTGGGGCTTTCCCTCTTTAGACTTTTTGCCTTCCAAAAGTAGGGGAGCAGCAAAACCAGGGACAAGGAGAGGTATGGCTAAAATGCTTTCATCTACATGGCAGTATTCTCTAGCTCTTAAACTCATGAGTAGGGCTATATAGGCATGAACTGGGCAACACAGATGTAACATGTTAACAAGCATGTCACACACTGTGTGAATGTCCAAGGCATCTGTATGAGCTGATAACTTCAACTTTATCTGCATCACCTCATGTTGTTTTGCAGTTATAAAATACATATTTTGAAGTCTTGACTCAAGAAGGAAAGCATCATCATCATCATCATCATCATCATCATCATCATCATCAAGCCAATGTTCCCCTTGGAGTTCCAATCAATTCATCAAGATAGCTACAGCACCACATTTTTACACATAAGATTTAATTAGTTTTCTTTTAAATTGGTTCCTAATGAAATTAACAGGGCAAAGTCCTTGAAATGTTCAAGTTTTGCAGAAGGCCCTTCCACAGTTTCAAAGAGCCTTTCCGGTTCTATAATCCTCCTTCCTACCATTCACTCCAGAGACACCACATCAGGAATGTTGTCAGCACAGCAAAGGTCAGGCAACAGACATACAGCTTTACAGGAATGAGAAATCCTGAAAATGGGGGTTCCATCGATCACATTAAAATACCCCTGAGTAATTGTTGAAACCAAGCTCACCAAAGTATTTAGTATGTGCAATGCCACACGGAACTGAGACTAGCAGAGCCTACTACTTATTTTTTAGGATGAACCTGCTGCTTCATTAGATGAGGAATAGATAGACCCCTCCTCACAACTAAAAACAGATGTGAAATCAAGAAAAATATCATTTAAAATGTAGTTACAGTATTAAGTTGTTCTCAGTTTGATTTCATCTGCTTCAGACTTGTGACTCATAATAAAACAGACCAGTTGCTTTTGTGTTCCCAGCAAGAAAGAGAGAAAGAGAGAAAGAGCGAAAGAAAGAAAGAAAGAAAGAAAGAAAGAAAGAAAGAAAGAAAGAAAGAAAGAAAGAAAGAATTCAAAGATCAACCCTCATTTGTCCTCTTTTAAAATTAGGTAGTATAATTAATAATAGCCGTAACCACCATGCTACAAAGTAGGAGGGAGAGAAGAACTCCCATGTTGGGCCAACTAAGGGAACATTATTTAAATATACAATCCAGAGCTCCAGGTGTTAAGAAGTCTCCTTCTTCCCACCATCTTTTATGGAAAGGCAAGCAGCAGTGAAATGTTTGCCCTTCAAGAAAATCTGTGCGTAGGTAGATCTGAAAAAGCCATTTGGGCTTTCATGATCTACAAACTTACACATGCAATGTAAGTATTCTGTTTTCTTACCAGAATTCAGAAGAGAAAGAAAATGTTCTAGGACTCTTCACCCAGAAGTATACAGCACAAAGCAAGAGAGAAAAAAGCTTTAAAATTAACCATTTCTCCCAAGTTTTGTTTAGTTTCAAAATGAAAATATGGATGTGGATAACACATAAGCTAGAACTTGAAAGATCAATCTTCCACTCTACCACTAGGCAATTTTGCAACTTTCAGACTAAGAGCAATACTGATATGTGATAACATGGAGGCAGCGGCTACGGAGTTATATATTGACTCTAACTTCCCCTAAATTCTTCCCATTTGTATTGAAAGGGTGTGATTCATTAACAGAAATGAATTGTACATGGGGCAAGTATGGTTGAAAAATGGAGTAGGTAGAAACACAAAGAAGATTAGGGCACAGAGTTCTGTGTATCTGTATCCTTATGATAATACCCATAAGTCAATGAGGAAAAGATTTTTATGAGCAAAGGGTCAGCTAGAAAGAGGCTCAGTCTATTTAAAACTGATTAATTAAATCGCCATAATTTATAATATAATGCAACAAATGGAGTGTCCTAATAATACTTGAAGAGTTATCTCACTGGCAGTGTTGTAGTGGTAAACATGTAGATGCTTACTGTAATAACTTCTGTCCCCACAAGGAAAACCCAAACGTGCAGATAATTTTACTGATTGGTATCAACAAAACAGTTTGGGCAGTTTTCACAGTTATCAAGTGTAGGACTTTTGTACAAAGAATGGGCTTGAATTGCACATTTCATCAAGACCAAGACTTCCCAAAAAGCACAACTCACAATATGTAGTTGTGAGAAAACCCATTTCCTTTACATGGTGACTATGAGGAATGCAGTTAAATTCAGAGGGAACAGGGAAGCACAAGGCGACCGCCAGGTGACACGATTCTTCCTGCTAAACAAACGTCCCAGTCTTGCAAATACTGTCTCCATTGTAAAAAATTGTTTCCCAGTTTTGTTCAGCTAGATGCTAATTGTCATAATTACAAGCTTCCCTGAATAAATCTTATTAGACAATCAAATGCCCAACATTTCCAGCAATGTTATTCCTTCTGCAGTTTTCTGCCATGTAACAGACAGAAAACATTAATCTAGAGTTTTGTTGGACTCAGTTGCTAATAAATTGTTTTGAATATAAGTTATGTACACAGTAATACACAATTTATTATTTTTAATTTTATCAAGAGTACTTACTAGAGGGAATGTGTTTACAGATATCAGATATTCCTCCAACATGATCATGGTGCCAGTGTGTTACCAAAATTTCCTGAATTGAGATGCTGAATTCATTGAGCGCTTGTTTCAAACAGGTTATATATTCAGGGACAGATGGTTCGCCTGTGTCAACAAGGATCCTTCTGTATTAAAGAAAGCCCCGCCCCCAAATCACACACATAGTTAACAAAAAAACAAAGCTACCAATGACCTTCTACCTTTGGATTCTGGGTGGCAAACCTCACATGACAACGTGAATCAATTAATCAATTACAAAACATCAGTCGCTCTGTATTAGAATCTTCTTTACCCTCTTTAAACACTTGATAACTCTACGGTGCAGCTAGCTTGAGCTTGAGAGAAGGAAATTGTCATTACAACAGACGCAAATAGTCATGCCAAGAGAAGAAAGGAGCAGAAGTTGCAGAACCTGCAAGGCAGTGAATGGAAAACTACTACTATAAATAAGTGATCATATGGAGAAAAGCTGAGATCCTTATGGATGGTAACATGGCAGAGGCAGAAAGGTGATAAGATAAACAAGATTCGCCTGGTTTTGAATAGGGAAAAGGGAACCAAGGTGTAGATGTCAGGTTGTGCAAACAAGGCTCTAGAGAAGCCGGACTCCCCCACTCTCCACTATTGATTGCCAAACAGAACATTAAGCCTGGATACTGTACACACTTATCCACGCGTAAGCCTCACTGAATTTGGCAGGAATTATTTCCAGGTAGACTAAACTTTTATCTTTCTTATGATGTTTACTGTATAGTTTCAACAGTCTGTGAGCCACCTTACATCCCCTATAGGAAGAAATACAAGTGTTGGTCTGAACAGTTACCTTAACATTTTCAAAGCCAATATTTTCCAAGCCAACATGAAGATTAACCCAGATCTCTGACCATAATAGACAGACAAATAAATCACTTGCCCTTCTTGCTTCTTTATTCTTCTCAGTTGGGTCATCTGCATCCCATTCAAAAGCACTTGCTTCCACAACTGCTCAATAGTCTTAAAGCCAGTCTTTTGTCTAGCTCTTCTTCACAAGTGAATTTTTGAACTCTGTATCCACAGATGGGTGGGAACTTTAACCCAGATCTCCTGAGCCCTAGTCTGACACTCTGTCCACTACACTACAGCGGCCACCTCAGTGGGGGTAGAAGAGGCAATTTTCTATCCAATCTAAATTTAATAGAATTTATAGATAGGATCTCAAGGATATTCCCCACCCCACCTTCCTAACAACAATGAAGTAAAAAGTAAACATGTTTGCTTTTATGCTGGCCTCCTCTCTTATTATGCCAGACTGATTGCCAGCAGATCACATTGGGCTCTTAACAACAAGACCACCCCATAAAAAGGGGTGCGCGGGAATTCTGTGTTGCATAATGATGTATCCGCACACACCACCACAACCCAAGCATCTCTTTTGTGTTCATGAAAGCAAATAAAATTGTGATGGGAGAGTGGCCCCTTGTTTTCCCCTCAGACTTCGACCGAGGCCCTCCCCCCTCCCCACAGTCAGGTCGCTTGTGGCGAGTTCAAAACGTATCCTGCACTACCCCTCCATGGGGAAGAACGCGCACCCGACGAACTGCTGCCTGAGGAGCGCCGCCCCTCTTGAAGAAAAGCAGAGCGGGGGGGGGGCGGGAAACACCCGTTGGCAGCAACGTTTTCCTCCCGGGGCCTTTTCGGGGAGCTGGGGGGGGGGAAAGGGATTCCCTCGCACGTTACCTGGGCCCGGTGCCCACTAAGTAAGTGTTGGTGCCCTGCAGGGTCATGGGCCCCGGGTTGCAGCCCAGGACGCGAACGACCCTGGACGAGAGCTTCTCCACCCGCGGCAAGACCGACAACATCGCCGCTCCGGCCAGGAAACCCCTTTCCTCGGGCGGCGAACCGAGAAGGAGGAGAAGAAGAAGAAGGCGGGGGGTAGGTGGGTGGGTAAAAGGAGGAGAAATGGCCCGCGCCATAGAGATAGGAAAAAGTAGAGGGGAAAAACAGCACGCCTTGACGCTTTCGATACTGGTTTAGTATCGAAGAGTGACAGCATATCTTTGTTGTTAAGCGTGTCTTTCCTGCCGTCATGGTGGGGACTGTGCTTCTGGCACTGCGTTGTGTTACTGCTTCTTTTCGGACGTGAACGGGGAAGGATCACACAACTATCCAACTACTGTATAGTTATACCAAAACGCTGTACGTATTTTCCAAACTACAGTACAGTACGTCGTTTCAGGAGACACGGAAGGCTAAAAGATGGCGCCCGTGGCAAACTTAACCCGGAATCTGACCGTTGCGTGACCAAGCATTTGCGAATGAGAATACATTTTTTATACTTTCTGTTTGCCACTTTCTAGGCAGGAGTCGCAGTTCAGGCGCTGTGTTTAAAAGTGTCTTGCAGTAATAAGAGAAGCATGTTGAATTAGGCTGTTTTGTAATTGCACAATTCCTTTCGTGTTAACGAAATGTCACGGCATTAAGCTATAAACTCAATGCAAAAAAGAAGGAAAAAAAAACATTATCGGAAAAACCTCCCAAACCAATTAGTGATCCAATAAAAGTATTACCTAAACCAGAACTTTGCTCCACAATATGATAGTACTTCACATTCCCCGATTGCTTAACTTTCTGCAGTCTTAATGTTCAATAATCAACCAATTTTGCCAACAAAAAAGGTGAGAACGCAGAATAGCAAACTGCTTTTCTATTGATAATGTTTATATCAATCATATTTTTTCAATGAGATAATTATGCACATTTTGTTTTGTGAGCCATAATCTGTACATGACTGAATACAGCCAAACATTTCAATAAGAGATGTGCTAGTCAACAACACTGTGAAAAAACATTTGGTTGATTTAGAAGCACAAAAGTCCTTTGACTTTTGATTGCATAATCTGCAATCTGCAACATGGATAGCAACCTTCATCTGCTCTCCATTAAACCTTTCCACAGGAAATTCCATCATCTTGGTGTTGCTACGACAAAGGCCCTGCCAGTTGTGCATGTCTGTCACTCACTGAGTGAACTGAGCAAAGAGCTGGGTCATATAGACTCCTTTGGGAGGAATGAATTAGACACAAGCAAAATTAACACGAGGAAATTTTGTTTAGGCTACCTGGAATCTGGTCATTCAGAGAGTTGGAATCCTCCCACTCCAAATTTCCGCTCTGGTTGAGAAAAGGCAAACATCTCTGGCTGTTTAGAGAATCTTAATAACATTTTCTTCAAGACTTCTTCAGAAGCAGGAGTGAGGGCAAAGACATGAATGGAGAAGGGTCACAGATACGCACTCTTTCTTCCATGATATACTCTGTTTATAAATTCGATGATACGTTAAGACTTCCACGCTGAGGCTATTGCATGTACAGTACACTGGTAGCAGGTCTTGTCTCAGGCAACTTGACTACTTTCTTGTTTGTTGTTGTTTAGTCGTTAAGTCGTGTCCGACTCTATGTAATCCCATGGACCAGAGCACGCCAGGCCCTCATGTCTTCCACTGCCTCCCAGAGTTGGGTCAAGTTCATGTTGGTAGCTTCGATGACACTGTCCAGCCATCTCATCCTCTGTCGTCCTCTTCTCCTCTTGCCTTCCCGCTTTCCTAACACCAGGGTCTTTGCCAGGGAGTCTTCTCTTCTAATGAGATGGCCAAAGTACAGTATTGGAGCCTCAGTTTCAGGATCTGTCCTTCCAGTGAACACTCAGGGTTGGTTTCCTTCAAAATGGATAGGTTTGTTCTCCTTGCAGTCCAGAGGACTCTCAAGAGTCTCCCCCAGCACCACAATTCAAAAGCATCAATTATTCGGCGGTCAGCTTTCTTTATGGTCCAACTCTCACTTCCGTACATCACTACAGGAAAAACCATAGCTTTGACCATTCGGACTTTTGTTGGCAAGGTGATGTCTCTGCTTTTTAAGATGCTGTCAAGGTTTGTCATCGCTTTCCTCCCAAGAAGCAGGCGTCTTCTAATTTCATGGCTGCTGTCACCATCTGCAGTGATCATGGAGCCCAAGAAAGCAAAATCTGTCACTACCTCCATATCTTCCCTTTCTGTTTGCCAGGAGGTGATGGGACCAGTGGCCATGATCTTAGTGTTTTTTTTATGTTGAGTTTCAGACCCTTTTTTTGCACTCTCCTCTTTCACCCTCATTCACCCTCATTTAATTCCTCCTCACTTTCTGCCATCAGAGTGGTATCATCTGCATATCGTAGGTTGTTGATATTTCTTTCGGCAATCTTAATTCCGGTTTAGGATCCCTCCAGTCCGGCCTTTCACATGATGTATCCTGCATATAAATTAAATAAGTAGGGGGACAATATACAGCCTTGTCGTACTCCTTTCCCAATTTTGAACCAATCAGTGTTTCCATATCCAGTTCTAATTGTTGGTTCCTCTCCCACGTATAGTTTTCTCAGGAGATAGATAAGGTGGTCAGGCACTCCCATTTGCTTAAGGACTTGCCATAATTTGCTGTGGTCCACACAGTCAAAGGCTTTTGCATAATGAAGCGGAAGTAGATGTTTTTCTGGAACTCTCTGGCTTTCTCTATAATCCAGTGCATGTTAGCAATTTGGTCTCTAGTTCCTCTGCCTCTTTGGAATCCAGCTTGTACTTCTGGGAGTTCCCGGTCCACATACTGCTGAAGCCTACCTTGCAGGATTTTGAGCATAACCTTGCTAGCGTGTGAAATGAGTGCAATTTTACGGTAGTTGGAGCATTCTTTATTACATATATATGCACACTATATTTTACAGGCATTCAATCAACTTTTGAACAGGCTGCGATAGCCAGAGCAGTATACAGTAGCTAGTATGGTGTAGCAGTTAGATTATTGGAACTGGAAATGAGGAAACCTAGGCTCAGAAATTCCCAGTCATTTTTTTGCAGAGTAAAAAAAGGAAATAAAGGGTGGGAGAGAGAACCATGTACGTTGCCCTGATCTTATAGGTTTCCTATCAATAATACAGTATTATTTTTCCAGTGATGAAATGGGCTCTGCTTACTCATCAGATTTCAAATCCCTTTAAGTAACCAGCCTTTTAACCACAGAATTGGCACCTTTCTTACATCGCCAAGTTTCAGATAACCTGCTCAGCCATTTTCTGAGGATATATAATGTATTCCACCCCATTTCCTACAATTTTTGGTATACCGGCATAACACACTTTATTCAACTGAGTCTTAAGCTGAAACACGACTGTGGCAGAGTAAATAATATGGCCACTGGGCATATGAAAATGCTACCATAAGTTTGCAATGATCTTTCAAGATCCCTTAACTTTGTGTGTCTGGTGGTGAAAAAAGGCTATTAAGAGTAAGTCAAACTGGTTGCTTTGGTTTAACTGGTCACCAATGGCAGCCTACATTGTTCTGTGGACTGAAATACAAGCAAAAATGTCACTGCCCCCCACTGCCTCCCACGTCACCTTGCCTGCCTGCCCTGTTCATTCTCTTTTCTTGCTTCACTCACTCCCCTCCTTCTTTGCCCCATCTTGCTTCACTAGCCCATTTCTCCTCCCTTCACTGATTTTCAACCCTCCTCTTGCCTTCCTCCCTCACCATTGCTGCTGCCCTTCCTCTCTAGAGATCTCCAATGGCAGTCCTAAATTCCTGGTGCTATGTTCCACAAGGTCATCAAGGAACCAAAGTCTGTCTCTGAGAGCTACTCAGAGCTAGCATGGTGGGTGTGGTGGTGATCTTCAAGAAGGTATACAACCAACAGTGTCTTGGGTCTGGGGACTCATCTGTGGAGATGGCCCACCAAAGAGTAATGGAGGTACAGTGGTGCCATTTGCAGCTCTTGGCATTCTGTTACCTGAGGCAAGATATCCCCCTAATGGGAGGGCTAGTCTTGATGGCCACCTTCAGATCTTTGGCTGTCTTTGAATTGGGCTTATTCCTCCCTCAGAATGCAAGAAATGTGTTAATTACATCTGAGCATAAGAACAAAGAGAGCATGTAGAGTAAATAGACATATAAACAAATAAAAATAAAAGAATCATGGTACTCTAAAGAATAAAAAGGGACGTGGTGGCGCTGTGGGCTAAACCACAGAAGCCTGTGCTGCAGGGTCAGAAGACCAAGCAGGCGTAAGATCGAATCCACGTGACGGAGTGAGCACCCATCACTTGTCCCAGCTCCCGCCAACCTAGCGGTTCGAAAGCATGTAAATGCGAGTAGATAAATAGGTACCACCTCGGTGGGAAGGTAACAGCGTTCCGTGTCTAAGTTGCACTGGCCATGTGACCACGGAAGATAGTCTTCGGACAAAACGCTGGCTCTATGGCTTGGAAACGGGGATGAGCACCGCCCCCTAGAGTCGAACACGACTGGACAAAAATTGTCAAGGGGAACCTTTACCTTTACCTTTACTCTAAAGAATAACACATTTTTTTTCACTCTAAATTTTTGTAGATCATAACCTACTTCTTCAGGCTTTTTCATGTGTTGAGAAATTGGATTGTAATCCATGAAAGCTCACACTGAAAAGAATTTCTTAGTTGTTCAGGCACCAAAATGCATTTATTTTTTATGTACATGCTGAAACAGGCTAACACTGCTGAAATGGCAACAAACAAGTCAAGCAAGTGACCAGCAGTTTATAGAGGCAGAAAGCCGATTTTGTTCCTCTCAGTTGCAGTATGAATTATCTGAGAAATGTTCTACGTAGCAGTTTGAATTTTCTGAGAAATCTAGTAAGGAACAGAAATCCTTTGGAGTGCTAATGTTGTCACCTCTCATCTGATGCTCAAACTAAATTTATGTATAATTAATTTTTTTGTCACAGAAACACTACAAGCCATCTGGGATTTTCTTCCTTGGGAAATGAAACTTAAGAAAGTACTGGAACACTGCCAACATCTCATTGCTTGGAAATAGGGATATCTTTATGTAAACATGCATTTACATAGCCAGGGAGATTCTGGTAAATTATATATGGTTGTGTGGAATAGATTGTGAAGATATATTTGGTCTGCAGATGGCAGTAACAACAGCTGAAGAAATTCTGTCATAACCAAAGTGGAGCATATTTCTTCATTTTAAAGACCTGATGTGTATTTACAAGAGTACAGTGTTGTAAGCTAAGAATATTTACAGATCGGGAATAGCCATGTTTACTTGACTCCCACTAAGGTGAAGAGACTTAAAAGCGCTTCAACCCTATAGGGAATTGTATAGCCATTACTTCTCACCTGCTCCTGCCACCCATGGCAAATGATCTTTGGCGCCTTAAGATACTTATGAAGTGTTAGGAGTTCAGTCATCAATTATTCAAAAAAATTCTCTTTTATGAATCCGCGATACTGTGCTTCTGTACCCATGATTCAAAACACCAGAAAATAGCCCAATATTGCTGCACAATATTGTGCCTGTTTTGCCAGCAGGAAAAAGGATGCCAAGCTTTACATAGCAAAGGGCAGCCTGCATGTTGACAGCAGTCAAGATGGTCTACAAGATTCCTTCTTGTGTCATTTTGTAACATCATGGAACAAAGTTAGTGATGAGAGAAAATAATTCAGGCATTTGAGAATATTATCACAGATCTTGAAACTTGCGCACATTTTGTACCATATTTTGTATCATATTTGTATTACATAATATGGAAATGCAAGTATAGAATGATCTGGAAATGAATAATCAAATAAAGTAAATAAATGACTCAGCTGAAGCAATGCTATAACTAGAAAAATTTTAATCAGGTCATATGTTTCACAGGTGACTGGAGTTTCAGTTTACTCTGCACTCCACACCCTTCCGCATTTCCCAGTTGCAGACTACAGAGGGTCACAGTACAACAGTGCAAAACAATGACTTTAAAGCTTCTCTCATGGATTGTCAGTTTAAATGCTTGCAGAAACAGCAAATTATAGGTAAGTCTTTTTTATGTCAGTGTGGGTGCCGGCAGTTAAAAATCTAAGTATAACGCCTTACTGTACTGTTTTAGAGTGATAATGCTGAAACCAGCATGCTTACGTCAAACGCGGATTTGTCGCATGGTTTCAATGGGTTTAACACAAGGGAAGGAAAAGATTGCTATGAATTTCAGAAATGATATATACTGTATTAAGTTTGTGTTCTCCCTGTACACAGTAGAACTGTGATGCTTTGTTCATCTTGTTAAACTCTTTTACCTAGAGCTCAGAAGAAAGTTAACTTTTCTGTATGGAAAAGCAACAAAAATTTCTTCATACAGATCCTTAGTAAATACTCAGCATCACACTACTGAAGATGTTATTGTATCAGGTTAAATATCTATGTATACTTACGGCATTTCTAAACAGGTGGCTTGCTTTCCACATTTCTCCAATGCATTTATATAAAAGTTTGTGGAAACAACATTTTTTCAAAATGATCGTTTCCCACTTTCTATTCTGTATTAACCACACACATATGCACAACCCAATAGCATATAATCAAGGCTGTTGCAGGGTGCTTTTTATCCTGTGCTTTAGAATAATGCCCTAGAGTGAAATTGTCTGCAGTCAAAGGTGGCATAAAAAGGAGCTGATGCATATGGGAATGTCTCTTTGAAAAGTTTTTCATCCAGACTGATTAAGGCAAGTGACTGTCTGAACAAAAATGTGTGTATTTGTCACACTGAGGGCTGCCTGAGGGCTGTCACCTCATTCTTCCAAATGGTGTATAATTGTTGTGTAACTGTTGGGACATTTTAGCAACCCAGACTTCTAAGCAGGATCTGGGGCAGACAATGATAATATTAGTAGTAAACATACCTAAATATAATATTTCAGCAAGGAGTAGAATATAATGAACAACTATCTCTCCATAAAACACATAGCAGATTTTTTATTTGCTTGCCAGGGTCTTTTGAATGCTTTCCCTCTTTCTTTTCTTCACAGATTGCACCCTCTCTTCTTTTTGTCCTAAAGAAAAAGATTCATGCAGCAAGACCCTTATATGTAATGATATTGTTCTATATGGCTTTCACTGCTAGTGACCTATGCTGTCAGAACAAAGTGTTATCACAGAGGAAAATATTTTCAGCTGATAATGTTCTCAGTGAAATTAAATTTCTACTTATAACAGTGGTGGTCAGTTTTGGGGGCAAGCAGGCCATAAACACATGTGCAGTATGAGGTAAGTGCCATTGTAGTGTGATGCCCCCTACTGTTCATACAGCTGCTTCTGTGTTTGCATGTCTTGTTTGGGGCTAAGCAGATATATTGAGCCACTGGTAAATCTCTTGTAGCATGTTGCTGCTGCTGTTGTAGTATTCTATCAAGCTGTAGCATGTTATTGTAGAAGCATGTTGTCATTGTCATTGCTATGTGATGTCAAGTTGCTTTAAGGTATGTGAGATATGAGGTATTCAAAGACTGGTGATACTATTGTCAGCCTACCCCACTTCCCACCATGAGTTTCTGTGGCTGAGTGAAGATTTGAACCCAGCTCTCTTGAGCTGCAGTCTGATATTCTGTTTATCGCACTGGATTTTAATTTGTGGTATATTAGATGACTTCCAATTCTTTAAGCACGGCAACAGCAAAATCACTTCATTCTTGCCCCAAATTTTAGTGCCAAGGAGGCAGATTTTGATCCACGAAAGCTCACAATGAAACAAATGTGATAGTCTTTAAAACAGTGCATTGTTTTGTCTTTGCTTTTTCTTATTTTCCCTTCTCCCTCATTTAATTTTGCCAACATGTTGAAAAGAAAAAAAATATTGGAGTTAGCAGGAGGGCATGTGAGTTCAGTTCAGTTCTGGTACTCAACATAATTTTTTGGCTCAGCAGTTTTTATTTACAATTATGGTTGTGCACTAGACTCAAACAAATCTGAAATCCTGAACCTAACTAACATGATTCAGACTGATTATATGAAAACCAGCAAAAATCCACAATAGGATTCTAACCAAAATTCTGTTGCATTACTTAGTCCACATAAGTCTGATGATGTCATCAGCCCCAACCCAACAAATTTTTGTAAATAAAACATTTCTAATTCCCTGGCAAAGCTCCTGAAGCTCCTGTAGAATCCCCTTCATTTTTAGGAGGCTGCAAGGGGCTGCAGGATGGGGAAGACATCTTACATGAAATTGCTGCTGCTGGCGCTGTCATCCCTGCAATAGCAATTTTCAGTCATCAAAAACTTCTGTCTCTTCAATAATTAGTTCCACAGCCCTCAGTGGCTTCCAAATGATAAAAGGGATGCCATAGGGGGATGATGATATCATCAGATTTACATGGTCTAACTTACAAAACAGGATTTCGGCCAATATTTATTTATTTATTTAATATGTCATTACAGAACAAATTAAATATTAAATATAGAACAAATCCAACTGAATAACTAAACTTGCATAAACTGCACTGCTAAGTTTGCCAACCTAATGGCTCAAGTCCTGTTATGTTACTGGCCTCTGTGGAAGGGTGAAGATGTCATCAGGAGGGGGTGATTTTTGTTAATGAAAACTATTTCTGTCCTATGGCTTTTCAGATTGTATAACTCTCTTTCTGTCCCACAGCTTTTTTGACTTCTATGTAATCCTTTTCATTGTCTAGACATTGTGGAAGCCATGGGAAGATGTCTTTAATGACCAAAATTAATGAAATAATCAATTAATTACCAAAATTAAAGACCAGTGATGTCATCTTGCAGTGGTGCTTTTCAGTAAAAACTTCTTCCCTCCAACCCAGAACTCTTATGGCTTCCCCACAATGAAAAGAATTGCATAGGAGTCAGAAATCTGCAGGACAGAAGTAGGAAGTTCTTAATTACTGAAATCTCTCCTCTGCTGGTGACATCACCACCTTTCTGCAGTAAGTTACTCAGCAGGATTTCAGCCAACATTTATATTGATAAGATGTTTTTATGCTGTTCTGAATTAGATCATTAATAATTATTAATTCTTTTCAGGGCTCACCAGGAATTAAACTTCCCATGGCCTTTTAAGGTGCACATGGACACCTTTCCAAATGAATTATTAGGAGTGAAAATGAGTTCATAATCTACATGAAGACTTGTGCTTCTGACCCTCCATTCCAACAAATACAAACCACACTTCCCTTTATACAGAGAACTACACCAAGAAGTTAACTTTTTAAAAAAATCTCTGAGATGAAATTGTCAGTGGTGAAAACAAGACAATGAGATTTATGAAGCAAGATTTTGTCATGATGGTTTTGGGGATTGTGGTTTATGTAGCTGATGTTGGAGCTGATCTTTGGGTAGCAAAAACTTATTTCTGTGGAGAGCAATATTTATGGTGTGCTATTATATTGGTCACAGGATTTATTTCATCAGTAGTTGTCCAGTTTTTCAGTTACATTTGGTTTAAAGAAGATAATGCTGGACAATTGAATTGGACCTTATTCTTATTACATTTCTTGCATGGTGGAATATTTACAAGGTAAGTACAAAACCTGAAACATAGAAAGAATATTCAGCTGTGTAACGGTAAGTAAAGTGGTTTTTCATGCAGTGGGTGTGTGGGTGATGACATTTCGTCTTATGATTGGTTGAACTTTCTTTTGATACAGGGCTCGACCAACAGAAGGGTTTGTTGTTTTTACTTCCTGGGTTTCTAGGAAGCAGGAGGCCAGGAAGGACAGGTAGAAGAAACTGTGGTCTAGGAAAGAAGCACCCAAACGAAAAAGTCAGGATCCAAGAAAGAAGGAAGGAAAGTGGAGTGATCCAAAAGGAAGGAAGAGACAAGAAGGTGGGAGGAATGACACTGAGTGGGATGGAAAGCTAGAAAAGATAATTGATATCCATGAGAAGTATTTACATTCCAGAGTTACAGAAGTGAGAGGGAAATGCTTCTCATTTTGAGTTTTTGAAATACCTAGTCGCATCTGTGGCTGTAATTATCTGATTCATTTGTATTAAAGATTTTGGAAATTTAATGGACTTATATCACATGTCTGATATAATAGGACTGTGGCATCTGTGGGATCAGTACCCACGATTTCAAATACCTGCTGTTTGAAAATATTCAATAAATCCATCCAGAAATATGCATTTCCAAGGTATATTAGTAGAACTGGTCACTAGAAAGAACCAGAGACTATACAGTATACAGTGGTGTCTTGACTTATGACCATAATCCATTCGAGAAGATGGGAGTAACTTGAAATGGTTGTAAGTCGAAGCACCATTTCTCATTGAAATGCATTGAAACCCCATTAATCCGTTCTGGCCGGAAAAAAAACCCAAATCAAATAAAAATAAAACAAAACACTGCAAGCCCCATAAGAACATGCTGGGGCCGAAAAAACAAACACACCCAAAACAAACAAACAAACAAACAAACACAGCCAGCCCCAGTAGAATGCTATGGGGCTAGGGAAAAACACTCAAACTCCCTGCCCATAGCCAGCCCCAGTGGAATGCCCTGGGGCTGGGAAAACACACACACACACACACACCCATACAGCCAGCCCCAGCGGAACGCCATGGAGCTGGGGAAAAAAAAATACAAAAACAACCCCCCTCCCACACACAGCCAGCCCGAATGTGATGTGGCTGGGAAAAACAAACACACCAAAACACAAAAAACATCACAGCATAGAAACATAACTCCCCCCAAACCCAAACCCACCCTTCAAAACAAAGTAAAGAAAGCAGCTCCAGGCAGTCCCGAAGCCTCCTCCGACACACTCACTCTAACCATTAGGGCGAAAGAACTACAAAGAAGCAGCCTCTTTGCCTACCAACAGTTAGCAAATTTGAATTCCCTGCCTTTTTTCGGTTGCAACTCGAAGCTCCAGTCGCAAGTCGAAGCAAAATTTTGCAACTGGAGCTGGTCGCAACTCAAAATGGTCGTAAGTTGGGACATGCATAAGTCGAGGCACCACTGGTACATGTGTGTGTTCTGTGCAATCAAGTCAGAACTGACTTATAGTGAACCTAATAGGGCTTTATTTATTTATTTATTTATTTATTTATCTATTTATTTATTTATTTATTTATTTATTTGATTTTTATCCCAATGTTAGTATTGATCAAGATGGAAAATAGAACAAAAGACTAAGTAGAAGTAAGAGTCAAGTATAGACAGAAGGCCTGCCTAAAGAGCCAAGTCTTTAATTGGCTCTTGAAAACACCCAGTGAGTGTGCCAGGAAGATCTCTGATGGCAAGCTGTTCCAAAGCTGAGGAACAGCTTGCCGTCATTTCCATTTCCAATAGAAAGTACTGTAGTAGTACAGTGGACCCCTCGACTTACAGACAGCTCCACTTACAGACTTCTTTGGCCGCAAAATTTAGGTTCGACTTGCAGCCGGAGAATCGACCTACAGACTGGAAAAAAACCCCAAAATGGAACAAAAATGGCCGGTTACAGATTAATCGGTTTTCAATGCATTGTAGGTCAATGGAGACTCAACTTAAATACTTTTCGACCTGCAGCCACTGTTCCAATATGGATTAATTCCGTAAGTCTAGGGTCCACTGTAATGCCTGTTTGGTCACATGATTTTTCAGAGTAACAATGTGGCATACTATTATTTTAAACCTATTTCTTATCATATTCTAGCCAGTGATGAAATTTAGATCGTGCGAACATAGTGTATGATCTAGGAGCAGCCAGGCTGAAAGCTGGTGTTATTGGACTATAACTCATATTAGTCCTCAGCAGCAGAGGACTAATATGAGTGATGAGGGGAGTTTACTAACCAGGCAGCTGTCTTAATTCTTACTTTTTATTCTTAGATGTTGACCAGCTTGACCATGATTATAGTCCAGATTTACACTTCATGATATTTCCAACTAGTGGTGGTCTAAATTGACTTCTGGACTAATATATCATGAAGATAAGGCTGGGTCATCACCCATATTCAAGCTGGAAGACTGAACAAAGAATAATTAAATAATAGCCCATTTGGTTTCTAAAACCAGTGATGGTGTTCCTTATGTAGTTCATGCACTATGTGATTCATACCCCAGTTACTTAATCTATCAGACATTGGTATTGCCATGTTCTGAGTGCAGAACATACTCAGCTAACAGCGGTGCCCAGCATTGGGATTGTTGTACATAACAGAGTGGAGAGTAAAGTAAGTGAATAAAAATGCCCATTGAATTTCAGTGGGCATTGAAGGCTGTTTTAAAATTAGTGTACATACACACTGAGATCTAAAATGTGGAGCAGCTACAGTAGATTGCAATCTGGCATGGGTCAAAGGTTTTATTGCTCGTAGACTGTATTATATAGATACACATTCTATATCTACTTCACTTCAAAAACTGAAGAGGATGAGTGGAGCTCAGGAGTCTATCTTTGTGAAACAATTTCTATGATTGATGACTTGAAACTTGAAAGTGAAAAGTGCTAAAGCAGGACTGCAACTGAACATTAAGAAGACAAAATCATGACTACAGAAAGAATTACACAGCTTTAATGTTGACAATGAAGAAATTGAAATAGTTAAAGATTTTGTGTACTTTGGGTTAATCATCAACCCAAAGGGAGACTGCAGCAAACAAATGAGAAGACGATTGAGAGTTGGAAGGGCAGCAATGAAGGAATTAGAAAAGATAATCAAATCTAGGATGTGTTGCTGGAGACCAAGACCAAGATCATCCACACTCTTGCATTCCCAGTCACCATGTGTGTGTGAGTGTGAAAACTAGTAAAGGAAGCTAGCAGTAAAAAAAATTGATTTGTTTGAAGTATGGTGCTGGAGGAGAGCCTTGCAGATACCCTGGACTGCCAGAAAGAGAAACAAGGGGGTCCTAGATCAAATCAAGCCTTTTTGTCTGGAGATAAAAATGTTGAAACTGAGGTTGTCCTACTATGGACACATCATGAGAAGGCAGGATTCTCTGGAAAAGACAAGAATGCTGGGAAAGATTGAAGGCAGCAGGAAAAGACAAAGGCCAAATATGAGATGCATTGACTCTCAAAAGGAAGCTGCCGGCTTGAGTTTGCAAGAGCCAAGCATGACTGTTGAAGACAGGACATTGTGGAGATCACTCATTCATAGGTTGACATAAATTGGTGACTACATGATGGCATATAACAACAGCACATAAAGCAGTCCAGATTTAAAATGACACATTTGTAAAACTTCTTTTGATCTTCATTTCTATTTAATTCTCCTCTTTATTTCCAATTATAAATTGATCAGGCTTTCAAAAAAGCAAAACATTAATACCTTTAAATTCTTCTAAATTACAAAGTTGAAGAACAAGTTTATATTTGTACACCCATGAAGTCATTGTAAGCTGATTGCAGCCCATCAATTTCTCCTTCGGTAAATTATGAATCCCAGTCAGCACCTTACTTCATGGGAATTCTTGCCGGAAGTCCAAAAGTCGCCTCACACTTTATCAAACTTCTCAGCTGTGAACATGGGAGCATTTATGTAAGGCAGCCAGCTTGGCCCAATACACAGCTTGAATAAACTCAGGATTAGATGGATGAGTGTGTGCGTGAATAACAGATTGATTCACTCTAGCATATTTTCTGGAAAATACAAGGACTATACTGATGCCCAGATACGGGATGCAAGAACCAGATGTTTCGTATTTTCAGCTGAAGATGTTTATGGGCTATTGTCATTTGGAAAAATAAATGTGTGTGAGCACAATTCAAGAAAGCAATCCTATCCAGACATAATTGTTTCTAGTTTTCACATATTAAATTCAAAGCTATTAATGTGGTGTCTATGGTTTCTGTCTGTGCTGCAAGCATTCTCAAAGGGATAGGGATCAGTTCTTGATGCTTTAGATTGTTGCTGCTAAGTCTTCTTAATATACTGAAACAATTGACTTGGTAGGCGATCTATGTTGGAAACTAGACAGAAGAATATGTCCCTGTTGAGTCTGCAAGACCTCTCAGAACCTTCACGGTCATTGTCAACAATATCCTTCTGAGTTGTTCTTCTAGGATGTGGCCTGGAGGTACTGTTTAGCAGTGACTCTTGTCTTTTCTGCGGGGGTGAGCTCAGAGGGTGGTGCTGGAGAAGTATTCCTTGATGCCCTGGCCATTAACCTCAGGGTTCAGTTCTCCACCACTTACTATTTAACATATACAGGAGATTGCTGGGAGAGGCTGTCCAGAGTTTTGGATTTGGTGCTGTCAGTATGGTGAGGACACCCAACTCTATTTCTCCTTTCCATCTGATTTCAGATGGGTTGTTTTAGTCTTAAACTAGTGTCTGGGATGAGTAATGGACTGGATGGGGCAAAACAAACTGAAGCTTAATCTAGACAAAACAGAGATGTTCCTGGTCAGTTAAAAGGCTGATTAAGGAATAAAGATGCAACCTGTACTGGATGAGATTATACTCCCCTGAAAAACCACGTCTGCAGCTTGGGTGTGCTCCTGGATTCATCCATGAGCCAGGATGCCCAGGTCTCAATAGTGGCCAGGGGTGTGTTTGTACAGTTTTAATTAGTGTGCCAGCTGTTTCTATTGCTTGAGAAATCTGATCTCTCCATAGTGACACATGTCTTAGTTATATCTTGTTTAGAGTATTGTAACATGTGGTTTTGTGGGACTGTCTTGGGAAAGTGTTTGGAAACTACAGTAGGTCCAGGGTGCTGTGGCTAACTTGAGTGGAGCTGGTTATAGGGAGAACAGAAAATCTTTGTTACAACAGCTCTTCTGGCTAGTGGTCCAATTCCAGGTCAAATTCAAAGTACAGTACTGGATTTAACCTTTAAAGACCTAATTGCGGTTATCTGAGGGAGCATATCTCTTCCTACCACCCTCTGTTCTGACCGGAAGAATATCTTTCTCTCACCCCCTCTATCTTCATAGGCACACTTGGTGCAGGTATGAGAGAGGGCCTTTTCAGTGGCTGCTCCCAGTCTATGGAAGTTCCTTCCATGGGAGGCCAGGGTGACCTCCTCCCTGCTGTCCTTTTGCCCAGGAAATGCCTTCCTTTTTCAGTGAGGTATTTAATATATAAACTACTGCTCAGGAAGCTATTTTAAAGGGAAACTTACTCTTTTCTCTGTTTTAGATGTGTGCTTTTAAGTGGTTTCAGGAGGGTTTTGTTCTGTGGTTTTTAATAATTAACATGTTAAATCATTTTTAACAATGTGATTTTTATATTTTGATTGCTTTAATATTTGTATTTTTACCATTAGTAAACTACTTTGAGTCTTTGTGCAGGCAGGCAGAAAGCAAGGAAGCAAGCTATAGGGCACCAGCATCATCTTGGAGGAGGCATTCTTTCTTTGCTTGAAGAGAGAGAGAGAGATGGCATCTTCTAAGATGATATGTGCTGCAGTATATACATACATTATCTTAAGATCAAAGTTAAGTGTGCTTTTCCAACAAAATTGTTGTTTTGGTCCAGTGTACTTTTATGCACATTGAGTCAGCCGAGTGATCAATTATAATTAATTTGTTTAATTGTCTCAGATTTTTTTCAGTAGGGTAGCAGCCAAGAGGAAGGAATTTGGAGAATGGGAGTGGGAACAAGACTGTGTTGTTTTAATAATGAACACATTTATATCCACTTATATTTTTTATTTTCAAATTCCATATCATAAAATTAAATATATTTTTAAGTAGGCTTTTGTATTTATTTTCAGTTTTACATTGTTGTTGGTGTTAGTTTGTTGAAAGGGGTTGGATAATGGGGGGAAAGGTGGAGAAGCATGGTGGGTTTCTTAGAAATTAAAAAAGGGCTGTGATACCAAGAAGGATAGGAATCACTGCAATGGATGATCATGTATTGCAGAATCAGATAATTTTGAATGTATAGGATTGGATCCTGACGGATGATTGGTGACAATCTGCTAATGCCAGCTAGAGGAAGGGAGAGGGTGATTTTTATCAGGCATTCCTCCTGCCGCCCCCTGTAGCCTCTAAAAATCTGTCCGGGTTCATTGGGGGACTTTCCACAGCAACCTGAAAGGCAAGGCGAGGGACTCTAGGGCTTACTGGGGAATTTTGTCTCCTCTTCTTGTTTCATGAATTGGGGAAGTCCTTTTGTTCTGGGAACAGCAAGCTAGGAGGCAACCTGTTTAATCTGCATATTGTACACATCCGGAGGCTAGTCTCCTATTAAACTTTCACTGAGTGGAAAGTTTCCTAAGTGTCATAACCTGGGATTGCTTGTGCATATTTTGCTACCCACAAGTAGTGATTTCCAGGAAGGGGGAAAAACACCTTTTCTCTCTGCTTGCACAACAGCAGTAGTTGCACAAGCAACAGTATTGTAACTGGCCCTTCAAATGAAAGAATTGTCCAGTAATGAAATCAGTAAAGTTCCATGAATAAGCAAAGCCATTGGAACCTTTTAGGCACCATGTGTATAAAGCAGCTACCTTTGGGTTAATGCTGGATCGCTCAGTGACTTAGGTCTCTGGCTGCAGAGCTAGAGGTTGGGAGTTCGATTCCCCACTGTGCCTACTTGATAGGGGCTGGACTCAATGATCCATAGGGTCCCTTCCTGCTGTGCAGTTCTAAAATCAGTATAATTATCATATGAGCAAGGACATCCTAATTACTCCCCAATCTGCTGATGAGATTTGCCAAGTTCAAGCACTAAAAGATTATTTTCAGGCTTCAACCCTGTATAACCTTAGCTTGCTGTAAGCCGTTCTGAACTCAATGGCTCTTTCTTCTGAGTACTGTAGATGCAGATAGGATTGCACTGTCAATGTTCCACTAAAACATTTTGAGATGAACCAGAGATGTGGAGGCTGCCATCACTGTTTCATGGAAATATATTTATGTGTAAACTTACCCTAGAGTAATGGCAAGAGGCGTCGGCAGGGTGTATTGGAGTTCATCACAAAACTGCCATTATGTGAACCTCAGCGGATCATTCAGAGGTTATTGGGAGGATAGGGCGGGAGAAGAATCCTTTTCTTGGGATGTGTTTTTGTAAGCGGAGCTTTTATAAACAACAAATTGAAAAGAAGCGAGAGCGCATTGTGTCATTTTGAGATATGGCAGAATATAAAGGTTTATAAGGAATGGTTGAAGAGGAACATTCTCTCTTTTTCGCTTTGTGCCTTTTGAAATTTCTGCTTTGTGAAACCTTTTGTGCATGCAAAGTGAACAAACTAATATTTGTGTATATTCAAATATGACCCACATTCAAAAGGATGATGTAAAGAATGAGGTACAATTCAATGATGGACTGTAGATCAGCATAATTCCACTTAAACCAACAGAGATTCTGCAATTGACAGGTTTAGCAAAGGCTTAAAATGTTGTCTTCGAAGTCCTGATCCTCTCCAAAGGAACGTTAGAAACTGACAGTGGAATAAAAATTGGATTTCCCCCCAAGAAAAGAGATATTACATATAAGTGCAGCAAATAAGGGTCAAACTAGATGAAACAAGCCAGGACAGAATAAAAAGCAGGAGTTAGGTGCTTGATTTTTTTTTTGTTTCCCCTGTCTTTTAGCTTGCAAATCAGATAGCTTTGGTCTGTGATTGGTTATTGGGAGGCAAACAGGCTTTGTTTGCAAGTCCTGTTGCTCAGGCATGAAGTCTGGAGGAAAGCACTGAAGTACTTTCAGCCTCTAACAACCTGGTACTGTACTTATATTGCCTAGTTTGACATAAGGAGTTCAGACTACCATATTTTTCTGTGTATAAGACTATACTTTTGTCTAAAAATTTTAGACTAAAAATTGAGGGTTGTCCTATACACAGAAGTAAGCTGAGGAGAGTACAAAAACAAGTGGAGGGGAAAGCAGGGATCAAATTGTTCCCACAGGGCTTTGATCCCTTCTTTCCTCTTCGCTTGCTAATCCTTAGCAAAAGGAAATCAGGGATCAAAGCGCTGCAGGATTGCTTTGTTCCCTGCTTTTCCCTCTGCTTGCTAAGCCTCATGGGGCTTAACAAAAGGAGAGGGGAAAGAATCAAAGCAATCCTGTGGCTGTATAAGGGGGAAAGGGATCAAAACGATCATGCAGTTGCGAGATTGCTTTGATCCCTTTCCCCCTCCTTTTGCTAAGCCCTGCAGGGCTTAGCACGAAGGGAGAAAGCAAGGATCAAAGCGATCCTGCAACTTCCCCCTAAACTTGCTAAGCCCCATTTAGATTTCTTAATTTTGGGTTAGAAAAGTGGGGTGCATCTTATACATGGGGGCTCTTATACACGGAAAAATACGGTAAATAAAATACTTAATGGCCAGAATCTTGTTGGCCATTTATGTGTATGTAAATTAAACCAGTGAATTGCTACTACCTGAACAGCTATCAGTTATATTACTATGGAAGCAACAGTTGTGCCATCAAGCATGATATTATAAGGCAACGAAAGCCTTGTTAGTTTGTGGCAATATGTCATAATGAGTTATATAATTTAATTTACACAAGCTTCCTGACCATGTGTAAATTAGTATTATGTTTAGTTTTATTAAGAGGAAATTACTTCATACCTTTAAGTTTAATTCTCTGCATGTTTGCTCAAAACAGAGGCAAGCCGAATAGCAGTGGTTTGGCTTTACTGCAGCTTGATTTGCAGCTATTTTAAACGTCTGTTCAGATCAGGTGATCACACAGAGACCATGGATTGTTTTGGTGCCAGTGTCCACACTGGGCCCCCAAGTTTGACCCATGCCAGAGCCCACACACCCCCTTCCTCTGATCCTACCTTCTGCTGATCCCCAGTTCTCTTTTTATGGTTTATTGAAAAGCTTTTGGGCTCTTTAAAGTGTTTCACAACATTAAGAGAAATGGACACAATCTGAGTTCGATCCTGGGCTCAATTAGCTGGCTCAAGGTTGACTCAACCTTCCATCATTCCAAGGTTGGTAAATTAACTACACAGCCTGCTGGGGTGGAGCGACATGTAGCCTGCATAACTGTGTTACAAACTGCCCAGAAAGAGCTTTAAGCACTGTGGGGCAATACGTAAGCAGTGCATTTACTTTGCTTTGGTTTGGTTTTTTCTGCCTCTCCCCTCCAATATGTTCTAGATGGACCCTCAATTTCCTGGAGCTGATCTGGTGGTCAACATGTTGCCTATCTGAGTCTGAGTGTTGTAGTTCAGATAAGTAACTTTCCCAAGCTCGGGAAAATACCATTTTTGGGTCACCACCACAGAAGCTTTTTCTAAACAAGAAAAATGAAAAGTAGATATATGTAGCTTTGTGAATCGACAGAGAAATAGCCAAAGAGGGGCTTTTCTGTCTATTTTTCAGGCAGGGAAAAAAAACTTTTCTGGGAGAGAGAAGAACTGCAGTAAAATAAGGGCGGGAAAGGAAATTTAAGCAGCTCCTTCCTTAGCTCATCTTTCTCCTAAATTCCAAGCAAAGGTTGCTTTTGTTCTTGTTCAAAATATTTGAGATCTAGTGTGCAATGCTTAGGTTAATCCTAAATGTCTGACTGTGTGATTTTCCCCGTAGGTATTGGTATGCACTGAAATATGGCTACCGTGCTGCATATAAATCAAACATCTCAGGAGATAAATTGATCGATGGTTCCACTAGCCTCATTCATAAAAGAGCCATTGATGCAATGGCTGATATCAGCATGCTCCGCCTATTTAAAACATACCTAGAAAGCACACCCCAGCTTATTCTTCAAATCTACATCCTCATGACCTCTGACATTGATGTTCGCACCTTCAGTCAGTGTAAGTTGGCTTAATAGACAAAATGATGAAGATAGTATGTTTAATTGCTGATTTATGTGAAAGGTTGAATAGTACTCTCAGTGCTATACGTGCTTTACAAAAGCATGAGTGTAAAAACAAATAAACATCAAAATAAAATACCACAGCAAAAATATTATTAGTTATACCTGCTGGCATAAAGTGATTGGCATACATCTTGAAAGGAAATTCTAGTTGTGCGCTGAGTTGTGTGACTCAGCACACAAGAGCAAATACAGATGTTAATTTGTTAACTTGTGGCAATTCATGGGCCAGATTTATGCTGTGTTACACTGGTATAAAAACACAATAGGATTTTGTCCATTAATGTATAATACGTTAAAATATTTATTTATTTATTTATTTATTTATTTATTTATTTATTTATTTAACTCTGCCTTTTCCCTAAAAAAGGGTCCAAGGTGGCTTACATCATTAGAAGTACAATCTTAAAAGGTAAAATGCTGATATATAAAAGCTGAAAATTTTTTTGGAAGTGTATACCTGGAACCAAAATGATAAAAATGCTAGTTCCAAGTGAACTTGTTTTGGGCAGGAAGTTCCATAAATGGCCTGTCACAATCAAGCAAAAGAAGGGCAATTCTTTGGCCACCTCCTGTCTTATTGCAGATGGTGAAAATACAGACTCTCCATATATGACCCACTATGGTGCAATCTGGTACAGGTGAATACAGTGGACCTGAATTCCTTTCGGCTTCTGATTCACAAAATATTTACAGTTCTGTAAGATAGATTTATCTCTGGGTCTACAGTGGACCATTTCCCACCCAGGACCTCACAAAGTCTCCTCCTCCCCTAAGTAGAACTGACTGGTGTTAGGTGTGGCTCTCTCGGATGCTACTCCTGGGCCTCTTGACATTGCCCATCTGTAGTGTTGAGTATGTCTAAAGTGGTTCAGAGGCATCACTATCTTCTTTAAAGCACATTAAACCCATATGCAGTGTCATGTGGCTTTGAATGATGTTCAAGATCAGTTCTGAGGATAGCACCCACTTGCTCAGTGTATTTATTTATTTATTTTATTTATTTATTTATTTATTTATTTATTTATTGGACTTATATACCGCCCCATATCGCTACAAGCGCTCTCCGGGCGGTTTACAATTTAATTATACAGGCTACACATTGCCCCCCCCAGCAAGCTGGGTACTCATTTTACCGACCTTGGAAGGATAGAAGGCTGAGTCAACCTTGAGCCGGCTACCTGAGATTTGAACCCCAGGTCATGAGCACAGTTTTTAGCTGCAGTACGGCGTTTTAACCACTGCGCCACGAGGCTCAGTATGTATAAATAATCTGGCACAAATTGATAAAAGTTTATTTAAAAGACATTATGTCTGCGTTTCATGGAAGTTTCTAATAATCAGTAAATGTTATTTATACAATGGCCAAAATTACTTGTATGTAGTTTGCCTGTCTTGATATTGTTTTAAAGAACCAAAGCCAAAATGGGTGCCTAACACAACAGCGCTGTTGTTAAGAACAGTCTATAACAGTAGCATAGCTGATTGCCTTGCGCTGAACATGGTGCCAATTATATTTGGAATAATTACTTCTAATAAGGAAAACTTTCCATCTCACTTTCTGCGTGTGAAGAATATTTAATTTTAAAACCCGAAGTTCCCCCCCCTCCTCATATAATTAAGACATTTTTCTTTGCTTTTCTTTAGATTTTTCCATCACTGTCTCTTTCACCAGCATTTCCTGTGCAACAGTGGACTATCAGATCGCTTTACGGAAATCCCTTCCTGACAAGAATATGTTTAGTATGATATCTTCCAAAATAACATATTTTTCCTACAAACTGTTGACTTTAACATCATGGATACTTAGCATTGCGCTGGTGACGGTGCTGAGCATCAACGGTTCCATCATTCTCCTTGGGGTTCTTTGGCTTGGAGGTATAAGCTGGGTGCTCAGACAACACACCTCACTTTGCAAATCTAAAGCAGCAGAAGTTGTCTATAGGATCATTGTGGGAATCATTCTTACATTTACCTTTTTTAATGTCAAGGGAGAAAAGACAAAAATCATTCTCTGTGTTTATTATGTCATCCGGGTGCTTATTACCTTAGCCATATTGTGTGCATGTATGTTCTGCAAATCACTGTTTAATGGGAAAATTTATCTCCTGTCTGTAATTGCTGCAGTTGTTGCTTCTTTAGTATTAGGCATTGTTTCTCTTTCTGTTTATTATAGATTTTGTCATCCTAGTATTTATTATGCACAAGATGTAGTTGATGGACGAGGAGATGAAAGAAATGAAACTTGCCGAATAAGGAGATTCCTGATACAATAAAATACAAGAAATGGTAATTTTCATTCTGTCTTTAAAAACAGCAACAAAGCAAAGCAAAACTGGAATTTCATGTCTTATTCATAAAGATGTATTTATTCATTCTGAAAACAGACAAATACTAGTCTATGCACATCTACATGTCAAGCTAAGCCAGACATTCCACTTGCTTCAATGGGTTATTATTTTGCAATATAAATTGAACACCTAGTCTGGTGTTTCCTTTTCAGTGAAAAGGAAAACATTCGGGCCCCCAAGCCCCATTGTAACAACCCAATCCAAACCAGGCCCAGAATTTAATAATTTAAGATAGTTTTCTAAAATTTGTTTTTAACTTTTAAAAAAGATAGCCACCCTGAGCTTGCTCACTCTATCTGTCTGTCTGCACGTCTGTCTATCTACCTACCACTTACAGGTGAATGTAAAGTCACATTTTGGCCTTCCTGCATAATTTGCATTTCCTATGAACAAATATCGTCTATCTGAAGCCTATTTTTGATCACTCCATCTCTTTTTCCAAGGCTTGCCTGTGGACAAATGTGATTTCTTTTTGACTTGGGCTTCTTTTGAAACTCAGAAATCCAGGACAACTTCATTACATTCACTGAACAGTTCCATTTCTTTATAACTTAGACAGAGAAGATACAACGAGCACTTGCAAAACTAGCAAGAATTTCCCCAAGTTACCTGGTTCAATGAGGATCAGAAAGAAAGGTGAATATGGTCAACCTGATGAGGCTTTCCCCTCACATTTAAAGTGGGGGAAGTGTATTTTGTCAACAGGAATATTGCAGAGCAACAGATGATTATTAAAATACTTGAGGTGTCCGTGTGCCTCAGTCTTTCTAGCTCATAGGTCAGGGAACAGGGATAAATTACCCCAAATGGGGTAAAAGTGAAACTCCTGGGGGTAATGAGCAGAGTGCTACCCCCCTCCACCCCCCACCCTCTGCAGCCAACGCTCAAATTGTAAGCTACCTCTCTCTGTTACTTCCTTCCTTGCAGCAGGGCACTTCTAAATGCTCCAGATCAGAGATAAGCTTCCCTAATTGGATACAGCTGGGGATTAGCCCCAGGCAATCAATCAATCCGGGGCTTCCGAATAACTGCTTCCTTCAGAAATGACTGCAAACAAGCAGGAGGATAGAGAAGATCAAGGAGCAAGCAAGGGAAAGGAGAGAAGAAAGGTGCAAGAGACCAAGCACTTCATCAAGCTTATTTAAATGTACAAAATGGAGGGAGAAAATGGAGGGAAGGTGGGTGGATGTGTGTGTGTGTGTGTGTGTGTGTGTGTGTGTGTGTGTGTGTGT